AAATTAACATCCATTCCGCATCATCATTTGTAGATCATCCATGTATAATATGTATCTAATTATACGTGTTTGAGCATAGGGAAAAAATGTTAGATCAAGTGAGCAAAAGATAGACATATATGTATATTGGACGCTAATCTCTGATAGATGTCATTCGATTGCTGTCTTAAATGATCAGCTACTTTTGAGTAAATGCAGTTTGGATTTCAAGTAAGAAATTCTCAACACTTTGCCTCTAGGATTCTGTTCGCAATCTCCATGTACTTTTTTACTAAAAGATGCTTTTGATTTTGTAGGGCCTTAAGTCAGTAGGCTGAGGAAAACTGATACAGACAAAAGCTCCTCCAGGGCTGTTTTTTTGTGTGTTTTTTTCCCCATTGGTAAGCATAGATCTTTCTATTCATAAAATCTTTTACTGGATATGATTATGGTACACCTGGTTCGAGATCTTGTCCCTTTGGACTCTTCTTGCTATTTGGAATGATTGGTGGTTCAGCTTGATCATTATTGTTGGTAGTATTTCAATATCAGATGAGCCCCCAACATGTCATGTTCATGAGTGGCCTCAAGAATTTCAGTCTATATCCAATCCATGATCCATATGAAAATTTGTCAACAAAATTGAAATATGGTTTAGAATGGATTGGATTTTGTAACAAATTAGATGAGACTTTATATTGCTTCCAGCTAAGCTGTCTGTGAGGTCCAGAATCCACTAACCCTGTATTTTTCTTAGTAAAAGGAGAGCTAGCAACTATGCATTAAGATCTCAAGAATCTTAAAACATATACTTTACATGATCATATCTCAATTTACTTTTAAGATCATTCGAGAAGAGAATTTCAACTAATGTAAGCTGATGTGAGTTGAACCAACTGATTTAAGCTTCGAGGCCTGCTATTTTAAGCTTTCAAAACTCGCCCCCAACACCAATGGACATTTGGCTATTAACATTGTTTCCCTCGTATTCTCTTATTCCCCTTGCCTTTTGGGTGATCCAACAGTAGGCTACAGAGGTTTTGCATGCAAAAAAATTTAAACTCAATACATAAATGAGAAGTAAGAAAAGTCGTCTTCTAAATTTTATTATTGTTGTTATTATTCTTTTATAATGAGTTCAGATGAAACTTTAGGTGACAAATCAAAAAGTAGAAGTATTAGTGAAGATTCAAGCTTTTAATGGTTGTCCAATAGTGAGGCAATGCCAAAAAAAAAAAAGTGGTGCAGAGCAGAAGTATCCAAACTAAGACACAAAAGCTAGGCCCCGAAACAATGATTCAGGTGTTCCCTCTGCCACTTGCCCTAAGAAATACTGCAATGTTTTCTCAGCTTCATGACTAATAAATGTTGATTCTGTTCTATGTGCCCAAAAGGTTAAAAATCCCTCATTCCATGATATCATGAAGGTTGTGGCCACAGTTTGTCTGTTTCATTACATAGCATTGAATTTTCTAAGGTTGAGAAAGATCAACGATTAGCTGTAATTTCCACTCAAATGGCAATAGCAGAGAATGGTTTCTTCTCCATGGAATATTGAATATATATATATATATATATATATATATAAAGACAAATCCCTATGTATAAGACTTTTCGTTTTGAAAGGATTGAGGTGAAGGTTTATAATATACCATCTTTCTTCTATATTTTTGCAAAAATATATATATATATTTTTTAAAACTCGAACTTATGATTTTCACAATCACAAAAAAATAATCTTACTATTGCATCAAAGCTCGCTCTTATATGTATATATATATATATATATATATATGTATACCATTAATTGATGATTCAATAAAATCTCATTTAACTATAAGTATTTTTTTTGGGACAATTCTTTATTCATTATTACACTCCAAAATCAAGTACTAATTTACTGAATTTTATTTATACATAATAAGAGAATGGGAATATATCTTATACATTTCATAAACTTCAGCTCTTCAAAACTTAGAGTGTGTTTTTTAAAGATTCAAAACTGCTATATACAATGAATAATTGTTATTAGAGTTGAAAGAATAAATCGGAATTCAAAAAATTCACTTAACTCATTTGATTTCGATTTAATTTAATTAAATAAAAAATAAATAATTTAAATTTAAATTTAAATATTCAAATTTGAAAAATCATTCATTTGACTTTAAAACTTTATAATTTGAATCAAAAGTAACTCAAGTTCAATTAATTGGAATATCAAACTAGAACAGCAAAAATAAAAAATAACTAAACCCAAGGTAATCCAAGCCAAATTGCTCAATTACCCCTCTTAGCAGTGTAAAAACCTGAATTATTCACAATGTAAAAGTGTTCTAAACAACATTATACAAAATAAGCAATACCAAATTTTCTTTTTGTCTTCGTGGAAATCAAAGCTGTGACATGTCATCCATTTGAGTTTCTTTTTGAATTTCGCTCTTTTCTGTTATGTCCTGGCAAGTGACTGACGCCAGGCTAGCATCCTCGATGATTGAACATGGGACCCAATTTCTCTCTCATCCCTGTCCAACCACATGCGGACTCAATCCGTATACCCCGGTAAATACGAAGATTTTTATATTTATTGCGGATAAAATACTAAAATTAATGTATTTATATATTTTTTATGTTAAAATTAATGTATTTAAAATTATGTATTTTTATATCAATATAAAAATATAAAATATATTTTTAATTTTATTAAATTTATATATAATTATTATTAAAATTTTAAATTATATTATTTTAATATTATATTTATATCATCTCACATATCTCATTTTAAATTATCAATCTATTCTGTAGATTTCCCTTATTTTATTTCCCCTCCATCCCCTTTCTCTCTCTCTCACTTATTGATTCACCCTATTTCTATCCTATCCTCTTACGTGGCTAACTGGGTCTGTATCTCCCAACATATACTGACAAAACCTAACTCGTAATAATTCCTGTCTGAAAACAAATCTAAAATCTACAGATCTATGTCACGTAATCACTTCCCACCTTAATTATGTATTATGTTCTCCCACTAATCGATCCTTAACAAACGTAAGAAAACACAGCTGCTCTTATCTTTTTCTTTTTGTAACGACTCTTATGAGCGTGACTGTACGGTTCACTGAAAAGGAGGGGGGAGGGACCGTTTCAAACAATTGTCGGCGACACTAGTTACCACTCGCTAGATAATAGGCTTTGTTGCGGAAATATAACAAAGATCTAATCTTATTATATATATAAAAGTTTAAAAATAGAATAATAAAAAAATAAATAATTTATAAATTTATACATTGAAGAACAGTTCATTTGTCTTCATGATTAAATTAAAAAATTTTAAAATTTTACGTAGTTTTACAATATAAAAATAAAAATGTTGCAAATTTAAAATATTAGCTGTTACAAAAAGTAATTTTGATTTTTGAAAAGAAAATTTTATAAAATTATAAAATTTATTTATTTAAGCTCTAATAAATTATATTTTTATTAACAATTGAACGTATATAAAAAAATTATTAGTTGATAACATCTTTTGCCGTAAAAAATGCTATTAGAGTTAAATATTATTCCTTCTAACCCTTAAATATAAAAATGCTTTTGAAATATTTTCATGTATTTAAATTAACCACAAAGATGGCAATAGATTAGGTGGAGACATTTTTTTTTTGTCTCCACTCCAACACCACGTTTAAAATATTCCATTTGATTCCAATCAAATTAAATATCAAATTATTATTTTTTATATTCAATTTTTACTATATATATATATAACTCGTTTATAATTTGTATCCAATTCAAAATTAAATTAAAGTAATATTTATAAAAATATTATTTTTAATATAAAATACATCTAATATTTTATTAAATTGACATCTTAAATTAAGATATTAAATAGTATTTTATTAATATATAAAAATTAGTATAAAATAAAAGTATATTAAAACCTACTTTGAACTAGATCTTTTTTTTTTAAAATAGATTTCCATCTCACCTCTAATCTAGCTCTAATTAAAAAAAAAAAAAAGTTCTTATAGAGTCACAACACGTAGAAATTCATTATGTATGATTTATTTTACCACCTTTATAATCTCTTTAAAATTAATTTAAAATTAAAAAATTTTAGTCAAAATTTTAAATATCATAATAAGTGTAAGTTAAATGTCTACATTAACCCTAAATATGTAATGAAATGTCATAATTAACCTTAAGAATTAAACTATAATAGTCATAATCTACCCTAATTATATAATACTATATCCTAATTGACCTTCAAATTGTTTTTTATAATAAGTATTAGTCGCCTACAAAAATTAGTGTCAATTCAATTAGTAATAGTTTAGAGTGTGTTTAGTGCATACGATTATAATATGATAAGATAAAATAATATTATAAATTAAATTAAATTAAATAATATCATCTTATTTTATATTTGATGTATATAAAAATTATGATAAAATAATTTTATTTATTGATCAAAATTATCTTTTCTCAAAATTTATATACTTTAAATTATTAATATAATTTCTAAGGATATAATAGACATATAAGTTTAATTTTTTAAATTAAAAATAATTTTTTTGACTTTAAGAGAATTAATTCATCATATGTTAAGAGAATGATTAGTACTCATTACAATTTTATTATTTTCTTTAAATATATACTAAATATAATATAAAATAATTATTATTTTAATTTATCTGTTATTCTATACATCAAATAAAATTTTAATATATTATATAAATATTTACTTCGAGGGTGCTGTCATTTTTTACTTAAACCCAATAACTAAAAGAAAAAAAACTTAAAATTTTATCGGTATATAAATTTTATACATTATCAATTAATTATATAATGATATCTCATTAATGAGATGAATTAAATAATATCATTTCATTAATAAATAATTTTTTAAAATAATAATATTTTATATATTTATTTTAATATTTAATATTTTCTCGTTAATAAAATTACGAACAATAAACTCTATAATTAATGCGCATAATTCACATACTTACAGAAAGCTTCTCTGTTTTTGCGGTGGTTCTTATATTTTTATATTGTTTTTTGCAGTTTGTTTCTTTAGTGTTTGAGTATATCAGCTTTTCTTCTTCACTACTTTGTCTCTCTGGTCAACTGCTGCTGAGGCCTTTGACATATGAAGATGCCAGTAAGTATGTTTGTTTTAACTGCGGATTTGATCTTCTTTTTTTTTTGGATTGCCAAATCAAAAAGAATTGAAGCTTTGATTTTATGTATTTGTTAAAAGTGTTTTTTGATGAATAAAACTGAGTACTTTTTCTGGGATTTTTTGTTAACTTGATTTGCTCATCATCAATGGTGTCAATTCAACTTATGTATATTTCTTCTGGATTTTTCCATATTCACTTTGTTTAGATGATGCTGATGCTTCGATTTCATTTTACAACCCTTTTTTATCAGTATTTGGGTTTCATTGGATTCTAAAACTTTCAATTTTTCCATCTTCCTTGCTTTTGGAGTTATAAGATCATTCTTTGACATTGACATTTAAGATGGTTTATTAGTTTTTGCAATTTATTGTTTCCTTAATGCTTGCTTAATTTCCTAGTAATTCCTTCATTTTAGTCAAATTATAAATTTTTGGTCATAAACCTCCTTAATTTACATGATTTGTTTTGGATTTTTTTTAATAAATAATGATGATTCATTATATTTATATTCTTTTTTAGATGTTTTGTACAATTGTTTTGATACTCTACTACTTATCAGATTGATATGTTCTCAAGCATTTTTAAGCTAATAAGGATTTTATTCTCTTTGTTCTTGTCTCGTATCCTTGATATGAAATTCTTGATCTTTTCTCTATGTTTTAATTGCATATTTCTATGTCTTTTCAAATCATCTATCTTCTTTGGCGGATTTGCAAAGGTAAAATTTTTGCTTCTGAGTATTAACTGGTTTTCCCTTTTTTTGTTTTTCCATTATAACTCAGGTGGCATTGCTGTTGCTGCTGGCATTGTGCAATGGAATCAGAGTTTTTGGAGAGAAGAGCAATGGGCAGTGTGATCATAAGCTGACATTGGACCCAAGACCACATACTGTATCCATCTTGGAATTTGGTGCTGTTGCAGATGGCAAAACTTTGAATACCATTGCCTTTCAAAATGCCATTTTCTATCTTAAGTCCTTTGCTGACAAGGGTGGTGCCCAACTTTATGTGCCACCCGGAAGATGGCTTACAGGAAGTTTCAATCTTACCAGCCATCTCACACTGTTCTTGGAAAAAGGTGCAGTCATTCTTGGATCTCAGGTAGTTTTTTGATCTGATTTCTTTGCCCACATTTCTATTTGTTTTGCTTAATGACTGTCCAATAGAAAAAATACACATTAATAGGAGCAAGTTTTAGCCTTTATTTCCTTTCACAATTGCTTTTCTTGCTTGTTAAGGATCCAGCTCACTGGGATATTGTTGAACCCTTACCGTCATATGGTCGAGGAATTGAACTTCCTGGAAGGAGATATCGAAGTTTGATAAATGGTTATATGTTGCATGATGTTGTAATAACTGGTAAGCTAACCTCTTAACTTCATTCTTGTTCATTCTTTCACTGTCCCTTCATTACAATCTTGGTTGAATCTCAGACAAACTCACACTTGCATGTTGCATTAGGTGATAATGGAACCATAGATGGGCAGGGCTTAGTTTGGTGGGAATGGTTCACATCTCATTCTTTAAACTATAGCCGCCCTCACCTTGTGGAATTTGTGTCGTCCGAATATGTACTTGTTTCAAACATTATTTTGCTGAATGCCCCTGCATTTAACATCCATCCAGTCTATTGCAGGTTTGTTTTCAATATGTTATTGATTGCTGTGCTCATACTTTAAACATTTGTTTGATATGCAAACAAATGGAGAAACTTAAATTTACATCTACTTGGATTTTATGCAGCAATGTACACATTCATAACATATCAGTCTATGCTCTACCTGAATCACCATATACCGTTGGCATTGTCCCAGGTTTGTGGTGGCTAATATCTTACCTTTTTCATATTGGGAGCCTAAGTTGTTTTTAGACGTTGCGTATTGTCAACATCTTTTTTCTTTTAAATTTATGAATCATTCTTAATGTTCTGCTTTCAGATTCTTCTGATAATGTTTGCATTGAGGACTGCAACATTACTATGGGTCATGATGCCATTGCCCTCAAGAGTGGCTGGGATGAGTATGGCATTGCTTATGGCAGACCCACGACAAATGTCCACATCAGAAGTGTCCACCTTCAGTCATCCTCGGGCTCTTCTCTTGCCTTTGGTAGTGAAATGTCCGGTGGCATTTCTGATGTCCAAGTGGAGCAGGTCCACCTCTACAACTCGTTAAGTGGTATTGAGTTCAGAACATCCAGGGGTAGGGGTGGTTATATCAAAGAGATAATCATATCGGATGTTGACTTGCGAAACATTAACACAGCTTTTAGTGCCACTGGTTATTATGGATCCCATCCAGACGACAAATTTGATCCGGATGCTTTCCCAGTACTGGAGAAAATCACCTTGCAGAATATTATTGGCATAAATGTCACTATGGCTGGAAACTTCACAGGAATCCAAGACTCTCCCTTTACCATATGTCTATCCAATATCTCCTTATCGATCAATTCTGGCCCTTCCACTTCTTGGATATGTTCGTATGTTTTCGGCTTTTCAGAGTCAGTCTTCCCTGAACCATGTCCTGAACTTGAGAATTCAAGTACTTCTTCATCATGCTTTTCCATCCTAAAGCCTAATGGTAGAGCCGCGGTCTTATGATACCATACCGTTCCTTCGAATCCTTCATAGCAGAAAACACATAAATTCGGAAATTTCTACCCTTGATCATCTCAAGAGTAGGTCAGATTCTTTCCAATAATACACAAGTCTAGAAAACCTGTTTCTTCATCCCTTCCGTTCGCATTTCGGCATGTTTCAGCCTCCAGATTGTTTGTACAGCTTCATTTCTTGATTCTTGTGTGAGGAAATTTTTGGTAGTGTTGGTACAAAAGCACAAAAGGGTCGTGGGGGTATTTTTAGTATTGCTGTCTATTGAATTCTTTTCTTTCCTAATGTTTATAGCTTAAAATCTCATTGCAAAATTATTACTTATATCATTTGGATTGAATTGCTGGATGACAAAAGTAGATAAAGAGATATTCAAAGGGGTCATTTGATTGAATAAAGTGTTGGAGATAGCATTTGCCTTTTGTTTTTCCATTAAAGAGTACAGAATATGCTTTGGGTTTTCAATTCAGAGTTTGATGGCAACATGGCACACCTCAATGATTTTAAGGCATATTTTTACAAAATAGAATAAACCATTTGGATCAATGTTGTTAGAAAAAAGAATAATAAATTATGCATATTCAACAACAGTTCTCAATTGCATTGGATTCTTTTGCTTAGATCAGACAAAGCCAAGAAAGCAATTAATAATCCTAATTCATGTCCTATCTATAACATAGTTGCTTTTAAAGTGTAATCTTAAAAGTGAGAAATTTTAGTCACTCAAAGCATATAACAAACCAGTTCATTATAACAAATAAATTTTTTTTTAAAGAAATTACACTCATAATTTATATTTCAACTGGCCTTTTTTTTCATCATGGACGCATTATTTTTAGAATTTAAAAGCTTAATTCAGTTTAATTGGTTTTAGTCATTTTTAGCATCCAAAGTTTAAATTCAGCATCTATAATTTTTTTATTCTTAAATTACAACCTTTTTTTTTTATAAAAAAGCTTATCTTTATTTTTTTTCTTATTCTAAATAAAATCAACTTTATTTCTGATAAAATACACCTTGACCTAATAAAAAAAATACCAAAAAAAACCCAAAAAATGAAAATTTGTGAGATTTGGGTTATTATTTGATACAAAATAATGGGCCAACCTCAAAGTTTATTTTAGAGAGGGCCAAGCCTTAAAAAGCAAAAGCCCAGCCTAAAAACAAAACTCAAAATCGCCCTAAGCTGAGACCGCCACCTTTCTTTCTCTCTTCTTCCACCGACCGGCTGCTCCTATTCTGTCTCAACTGATCCTTCTTTCGTAGCCCTTTGGCGTTTCTGGTGCCTTAGCTGCCATCTCTTATCGGGTAAGTCTCATCCTTGCTTTTCTTCTCGGAAAAATGATCGTTTAAACTTAACAGAACCAAACCAAGCTCTTTGCTGTAAGCACTTCAAGCGTCCTTTAAACAACCAAAGTTTCTATGTTTCTTCTGAGCTAATACTAGTTCTACTTTCTACCCTTTTTTAATCTTATCATTTACTTCAACTATAAGAAACTCATATTGGAAACTTAGCCTGAAAAAGCACTACTTTTTGTATTATGTTGGCGGGTTTTAGGATGGTTTAGCTATGGAGAAAATAGTCTGAATTCTAATACATGAATTGGTTTTTTCGGTTAATTTCTTATCTGGGTTTTCCTTGTCTCTCTTTGGTTTGATCTTGAGCTAAAGCTTTGTGATTCTGGGTTTTCTCTCTTTTGAGCTTGGAATTCGAAAACGTGTACTTTTGCTTATGCTAATGTAGTTTACCTTTTGCTATTTCAGGTTATGGGATCGTCGAATATTAGAGATATCTTGACAGCGTTTAGTCCATCTTTGGACTACTTTGCAATTAGTTCTGGAGATGGTCGTATTAAGGTAGCTAAAATCATTCCAAGTTTGGAAATGCTTAATGAAAATTTCGAGAACCAGCGGTTGCATTTTATGGTTCAATGTGAATAACGATGCTGCTTTCTTTTTTATTTAAAAAAAAAAATTTACTTTTATGTTTTGTTAGATTTGGGACACTTTGAAGGGCCAAATTCAAACTGAATTTGCAGACATTATCTCAAGTGAGGCAACAAACATATATGCTAAGGCAGAAAGAGGGCATCTTTCGATTGATTACAAATGTATGAAGTGGTTGTCTTCTGACAATAAGGTCTGTCATTTCGTATATTAATAAAATGTTTTTGAAGAATTTAAATGGTGGATTTTCTTCTATGATGAAGTAACTTTTGGACCAAAACTATTAATTATTGCAGAAGAAAAGGAAACTTGGAAGTTCTTTGCTAGTATTGGGAACGGGAAGTGGTGATGTCTTAGCACTTGATGTATCTGCTGGTCAGTTGAAGTGGACAGTTAGTGATTGCCATCCTGGGTATACACATGTCATTGAATTCATTTTTAATGCGCTATTTTACCTTTGAATCCCAAAGCATATACTTGCTAATTATCTTAGATAATGCAATTATATGGAGAGGACAAAACATTTCTTGGTAGAAATTTGTGGCAAAGTAGTGTCGCTGCAAATACTAGTTGAATTTCTGTAATTACTGTATGCAAATGTAAAAGAGGTCTGAATTTTCACCTCCCTTAATGAGAGCCTGGGAAAATGTAGATTTTAATATCTCAGTTTTTTTAATAGACATTTTGCAATCTGGAAGAACTACAAAAGATTCTCAATGTATTGTTATGAGCTCATGATGATTTTGGATGAATGCATTAGCCATTAAGTCTGGATTTGAATTGCTTAGTATTGTTGCCTTCTCTCATTTGCTGTCACAATGATTCGCAGGGGTGTCGGTGCCATTGGATGTGCTACAAGAGGCTCTTGCATTTATAGTGCTGGTGCTGATGGGATGGTTTGTGAAATCGATTCATTGACTGGAAACCTATTGGGGAAGTTCAGAGCCTCTACAAAGTCGATATCCTGTATGGCAGTCTCATCAGGTAGATGTTTTTGTCAGCATGCTTGGTGCTATGCTTTTGATTTGTACGCTATAAGACACTTACTGATGAATTCATTGTCTTCGATGAGGGTATTTGTTTTACCAGGCATTTATGCTTTAGTCTATAGAACGTGTATTACTATATTAGTGCTTAAAGAATGATAGTGGGACTCTGCCCCATGAAATCAACTTTATTTTATATCCCTAAACGATAAGAGTGAAAAATTATGAGATAGCATATGGGAGCTTCTCTTGCTTGGATCAGATTGAAATAATTCTTTCTGTAAGTTTTGGTTTTTGTTTCTTTTGGTTGATGCTATCACTTGGATATGGACCTTTCTTTTAGATGGAAAGATGTTAGCAGCTGCAGCTGCACAATTGAAGACTTTTGATTGTTCGAATCACAAAAAAATACAGAAGTTTGCTGGCCATCCTGTGAGTGTTTTTCAGTTTATGTATGAAAAGTCTTTTGCTTGTTTATAACCTTTCTCTAGGAATTGCCATTACCACATTCAAAATATGTTCCTTTTGCAATCACACCTTTATCAAATTAAGTGGATATGTCTACTTTGAATCTTATAGTCTTCGTTACCTTGGCCATTAGTTAACTGGTTTGTTCTCAATAAATTCATAGGGATCTGTTCGGTGCATGATATTTACTGAAGATGGAAAGTTTATCCTATCATCTGCTGTTGGTGAAAGATATATTGCTGTATGGAGAACAGATGGAGGCAAAAAGCAGTCCGCTAGTTGCGTTTTAGCAATGGAGCACCCTGCAGTCTTCATAGATAGCAAATGTGTTAACAGTGGGGATATATATGTTTGTGCCATTTCAGAAATTGGTGTTTGTTACTTTTGGTATGGTCAGGATGTTGAGAAATTACGGAATACCAAGCCCACAAAACTTGCATTATCTTTGGAAGATGGTTTATCTAAAACTCAAAAAGGTGCCTTACCTACAATATTTGCTGCAAAATTGCAAGGCATTGCCAAGCCAGCATCCGTGCATGCATTTCTTGCCCATGGTTTGTTGGTAAAGCCATCGTTTCAGAAAATTGTGGTGCATTATGGTGTGGACATATTGTTGAGTAGCTCTCAGGATGGGGTCCTTTTACCAAGGAGTCAGTCCCTTAACAAATTGAAGAAAGGGCTGGATGCACAGAATAGAGGTGCATATAATCATAATTCATAATTATGGTGGAATAATAACTTCATAATATGTTGGCAGTAGCTGCATGTCTTGTTTACATGATGAGGAAGTTAGACTGCTATATATGTTGTGAACCCTGCATTCTCAGACAACCCTTAATTGACTTCTCTCATTCATCAAGTTTAACATTATAGTTATCCTTATTTTTGTTTGTTGGGGCTGCAAAGATGGTAATGCTCTTCTTCCTGGTTGACTGTTTTAATGTATTCTTCCATTCCCATAAAAGATCTTCTATTAGTCTCTTTATTTCTGTTTATGGATTCTTATTTTGTTTCTAATTTCTTGATGTAGAATAACTTCTATTCTTTTTTACAATTTTCTTTAATTAGCGCACTTCAAATTCTAGTTTGTTGTTGGTATTCAATTTGGATTTGATGCTCATGAATCCATGTCTAGGACCAACCATCACATGTTATCTTTGTCTAATTTTGCGTGATAACTAATTGCTTATCTTATTATTTTGTAGTAACTGCATTGGATCGTGCAAATGCTGAGGATGCCGCACTTCCAATCCCTAAGGTTTTTTATCTTCATGAAGAAAAAGACGATAGACATAGAAGTTTCAGCTTTGATACTGGTGATGTAATGGCTGATTCAATTGACCATGGTAACCAATCAAATTTTGTGGATGGAAAAGGTAGAGTTAGCTTTCAAATTTTTATTTGTCTAGAGCATAATCTTTTGTTACCCTTCTTAGTTCTTTCAATCGTTTTTGGGTTAAAAGCTCTATATACGTTGAAGCAAACTTTTATCATAGGTAATCCTTCAATTTCTTGGTAGCTTGCCTTAGTTAATAGTTTTTCTAAAATATTTGTGTGCGTCATCAAAGTGTTTGCTATTGCAACTGCAGTATACTGGGTTTCCTGAAGCTTGTTAATGAGCCATAAGCTGGAAATCAATGCATTATAGACAGTCTAAGAGTAGAACCATCTCTTCTCCCAATGAAAAACAAATTGGGACAAAGGACTGGATGGAAGCAATATGAATCTGTCTTGTTAGATTCCTCAGCATTATTTGTTTATGATGCGTCTATCTTCTTGTTGAATTTCAGTGCCATGGATATTTTGATGATACCTCTGCTTGGTACTATTGATTTGTTATTATTTTGTTCCATGCAGGTGACTTGGTACAATTAGAAGCCGACTCCAAAGCACTTTGCATGGAGGATCAGCTAAGATCACTAGGAATACTTGATACATCTAACTCTTCTCTTGATTCTATTGTATTTGATGGTATTAATCTTGAAGCTAATGTGCCGCCAAAGAAGGTTTGTTTTCTGTCGGTTAAGAATACAAAATCTAATGTTTATGATTCCAAATGTCTCCACTTTATTTTTAAGTAAAGTTTAATTTGTGTTAGCTAATTCATATATTATATATCAGATGAGAGCAGCTGTTTCGTCTATGGAGCCCAGTGAAGCTCACAAGTTGCTGGAAAACTTGGTGAGATTGTGGCAGTCAAGGTTTGCTCTTAGTCTTCTTTACTTGCATTCTCTACCTTGTAACATTTTACATGCCGGTAAATAATTCAAATCAGTTAATCAGTTGACCACATGAATCAATAGGCTATCTTCTGCATGGAAACAAAATTTATAGAAATAAAATTCTAGTCTATCAACTAGTAGATTGACAATTTAAAATCTCACATTTAGAATCTTAACTTAAGCTTCAGCCAAGTATGCAGCTTCATTGTTTTTATATGCTAGGCGACTAGAGTGAGTATTTGCTCTATATTTCAAGTTTGTTTCATTTTGTTGAACAATCTTCCATTTCTGCTGGCAAGAAAACAGCTATAAATATGGTATGCTTTAAAATCCACTCTTTTATTGTCGTCAACAGGTCATATAGTGGAAAGTATGTTCTTCCATGGATATATAGTATATTGGTGAATCATGGTCATGTTATGTCTCAAGAATCCATAACCCAGATGCTTAATTCCTTATCAAAGGTAAATGTTGTGGAAGGAAAATTTTCTACTCTTTGTTTCTAACTCACATTCTTTTTTATCTTCTTTTAGCTTACGCTTTTGTTTGGAGTGAGATTCTATTAGTTGCTTAAAATGCCAAAGGAATTTTCTTGTCCTTGTTGGTAGCTTACCTTCGTAGGTGGTTCGACCAGATTCGACACTTTCTGTGGGAAATTGTATATATGATGATTCATAATGACTTTTTTTTTTTTCTCCAGACTACTAGATCTAGAGGGTTGGCTATTCAGTCTTTGCTACAATTATCTGGGCGATTACAGCTTGTAAGAGCACAGGTTGGTAACTTAATTTCATGACTTTGATTAAATATTTGCTATCTGTCTTCGATTGTTTTTCTTAAGCTCTCAAAACAGATTGACAAGGCAGCTCAGAGCAAAAGTCGACGCTCTGCAAGTGATCACCAAATGGATGAAAGTGAAGATGAAGATGAAGATGATGATGATGTAGATGACGTTCTTTACAGAGAAGATGATGAATCCCAATTAAGTAGCGACAATGATAATTAACCACCTTCAGTGCAAGAGGTAAAAGTCATACCTTGTTTTGTTTCCAATTCTTGGACTATTTACAGTTTGTTCACTGAATTCATTGTTGAAGATATTAATATGAATTACTATCATTTTGAAATACTTAATATGAATTTTGAAATTTTGAAATGCATCAATTCAAAATAATAAAATTTGTAATTGCATTGTTTTGGATAATCATTTGTTAGAAAGAAATTTTAAATATTAGAATTTACTGAGATAAAAAATACTTATAATAGAAAAATAATGATATTAGAGATATAAAAAACAAAATACTAAAAAATATATTTGTAATATGAATGTCATTAGAATTGTAAAAATGTGTAGATAATTACTAACAATACGAGAAATTAAAAAAAGATTATAATGAGTTTTTATAGTTAAAATTGAAAAAAATAAGTTGCAAAAAAAAAAAAGAAAGATAGTAAATATTGATTTGTTACTATAAAATCAAGGAATTTCTTAAATTCTACTTAGTTGAAATTTAAAAAGAGAAATTGAGTTTTCCAAAATTCTTCATTCAAATATTAAGAATTTTGACAATTTCAAATTTTATTCTAACAAATAAAATAATTCGACTTTAGAATTTTCAAAGCAAGAATAAGTCGGATTCTCTTGAGTAGAATTACTTACTTTAGGTTGTTAAGATGGCATAAAGCTGTGGATAAGAAACCGACTTATTCTTGCATTGAAAATATGTTGCCTGTAACAGGAAAACTCTGGTAATTTGGGTTTTGATACTTTGTAGTCTTACCATAGACAAGGTTATGCTTTGCTGCCTGATTTAATTGTTTCATTGCATAAATGCCTACTTGTTAGGGGCTTATTATTTGTTGTTGTGTGTATGACAGATCCAAAGTGGATTGAAAGAAAGGGGTTTACTCTTTATGGCAAGTTTGACTGCTGGCCTTCAGCATTCTTTGTATCACTCTGTTTTAGTTATTTTCTGGTGCTGCCAATATGGTTTCTCTGAGAGGAACATTTCCATGGTCGTCCTGCTGTGCTAGTATCCACTGCCATGGTTGTTCACAATTTAGTGCGGTTCATTTTTCCTTTTATCCCTCAATTTTGTAATGGTATCCCTCAATTTTGATAGAAGACAATGACTGAGCAAAAGCTGCAATGTAGCCTTATTTCGGTTTCGCATGGCAAAATTAGTGTTTAAAAATCTTATAAAATAAAGATTTGTTCTTTCTCTTTTTTTAATCCTGATATCTTATTCTATCTCTCCTTTCTGTTACCAAAAGCAAGGCCATAGAAATTTGGTTTAGTTTCTCTTGTTCTGAAATCAGCTTGGGAGCCTTGTCATCATTAAGGGGAATATCATACAAGTACAGTAGTATATCTGGTTGAAGTCCTGAATCTTGAGTCCCTCAATGTTGTACTTTTGATTCTTCAGTTTCTCCTAAGAATATTTGACATTAACAATCTATTTTTAATGATTTCAAGTTTGAACGCCTTAATTTATATGTGAGACTTGTGAACCAAATATGAAGTAGTTTTAAGAACCATCTAGTTTTTATAGAAAGAGTTGAGAAACAATATCAATATCCTGGCGAAATTGGATGGTTGGCTGGCTGAGAAGTTGGATTGTAGATTTATATTTTCACAAGAAATGACCCTGATAGCAAATAATCTCTCTCACAAGTGGATTGCAGAAACGATTCTTCCAGCACTTACAAGCATAGAATCGATTCGATACCTCCCTCAACATGGGCAGGTTTTTTTTGCTTCTTTTTGCACATGCTCCTAGGAAAAAAATAGTGCCGCCTCAAGATTCTACAGTTTTTTTTTCCTCTCCCACCCGGAGGCAAAAGAAAGAGCCCCTTTCGATCATTTCTTTCTAGCTTAACTATCTACATTATGCTACAAGCGTTGGGATTTTCATCGCTAAATATCGATGTGATATTTCCATTGCCATTGCCGTTGCTGCTGCTGCTGCCGCCGCCGCCATTGCCGTAATTATTGGGATAGTCTTCATTGTTGTGATCAATCCTACTGTAATGCGTGTACCGTGGTGGTGAATGAACATATTCATATTCTGTTACATATGGTGATGGCTTGTATGTGCTGTAGCTGTGAGTTAAAAAGGCAGGTTGTGGTGGTTCATGGTGGAAAACTTGGCTATTAGGGTGTCTGCTTAGTGGTTCAGGATAGATACTGCCTTGGCTATTGGGGTACTGTCTGCTCCAGGGCCCTCCATAGCTGTGAATATAGCCATATCTATACCCATAATCAGGTGGATGGTGGCATATTACAGGAACTTCTTCGACATCTTTGGGTCCAGAAGGTTGTGGTGGTTGCTGGCTAGCATTGGCATCAGTAGCTGCAGGTGCTGGTGCTTGCTGTGGCTGTGGATTCTCTTGTGGTGGTAGGTCTTTTGGTGGCTCTGCAGGTGGGGCTGCTTCAGGCTGTGATTGAACTTGTGGAGCAGCTTCAGCCGGTGGAGCTTCTGATGGAGGAGGATTTGCTGCCTCTGCAGCTGCTGGACCACCTTCAGGCGGTTGTTTTGTTGGTTCTGAATGGGAACAGATTGTTGCAATCTTCCTAGTTTTTCTAATTGCCTTAACTATTCTTTCTGGATCTGCCCACCCTATTATTGTCAATTTCTGCTGAGCAATATCAGGATAAACTTCATAAATACCTGTGGAAAACATGAATTAACTCAAAAATCAGGACTCAAGCAATGGCTAGAAACAGGATGAAACAGAATGTATGCAACCCTTCATTGCCTATCACCATGAATGCCATGTAGCGCCTTCTTGATCTTCTGCACACAGCCATTGCAATCCATTCGGACTTGTATCTCGATGACTCGAGGTTTCTGCAATATTTGACGACAACAAACACTGGTTAGCTGAGATTGTTGCAATATCGTTGATGTTCTATTGATGCAATAAAAGCTTACCTCTAACTCCGGCACCACCATGAGGCCAAGGAGATGGGGACAATGAGAAACCTGGAGAAGATTATGCTTTGTATGAGATAATGGAGATGGTGGAGAGTATGAACGAAGAATCAATAGTTAAAGGAATATTTGAAAGGCAAAAGATATGGGGCAATGCAAGGAATCTCTTTTTCTTCTGACTAAGATGGAGGGAGGGACTGTTTGCTGCTAGCTGGTTAGGCTCCAAACTAAGGGTCATTATCAAATAAATGGAAGGATAAGAGAGCATGGGGGTTCAGAAAAGAGTCAGTCTTTTGGTATGGACCTTGAAAAAATGTTAAGCCATAAGGGAATTTCCTTTAGCTTGGATGGCCCATCAGCCATCAGGCCATCCATTCATAATTGAGGCATGTTTGTGCGGCTAGGATATCCACAACCGAGCATAGAAAACAACTAAACTGTGTTAACAGATGCTAGAGTTACATCATTTTTGCCTATGCATGTCTTCATATCAGTCAACATTGATCAAAAAGTAGCTAGGAATCCTTTTGTCACAAGTAAAATATCACTATAGCAAATAAAATCACAGGAAATTAATTGTGTTGTTTAGCAGAATCCCTGCCTTTCATTTTTTGTTATAAAGACTGATGGAGATTGAAAGCCAGTGTTGAATGACTTTTCAACATATAGGAATGCTTTAATTTTAGGTGCTCTAAAGGAACCATGTTGACTATAATAACTCTTGAATAGCAAAATGTCTGCTTTAGATTTTGCTCCTCACCCATCTTAACCGGCTTTAATTTAAACACAACTTTATTTGGAATATGATAAAACTAGGAGTAGAATCAGCAACTTGATGAGACAATTTTTGGGTTTCTCAAAACACCCATATATTTTCTTTCTCAAGGGTGATTTTATAGCATTTTGTGAATTAGGAAGGGATATATTGGGATAGTGTTTTGAGTTTAGATGGAGAAATGTAGAAGTATTCATGAGGTTGAATCAAGTTTGGGTTGGATTTATACTTAATATTAATAATTTATATATTTGTTTAGGTTTGGTTTGACTTGAAATTTTTTAAGTCTTAAAATTTTTTAAAATTCGACCTAAATTAAAAAAATAAATCTTAAGTCTACCAATTAAATTTAATTTATTTAATAAAAAATTAAAAAATATAATTAAATTAAGCTTAATGAAATTATATTTCATTCACATATATATAATAAAAATAAAAATTATATATATAAAATTATATAAAAGTAAAAATTAAGTTTAATAAAACATATATAATTTTTATTTTTATTTTATATATATGTAAATTAATTTTTATACAATTCATACATATATATATAAATAAATAATTTATATATATGTAAATTCAGATTACGCCTAATCAAACTTAATCTTTAAATCTTTTATTTAAAGTTCGGTTCGAAAATTAAATGGCTTTAAAAATTATGTCTAATTTCGTTTAACGAATTTTAATTTTTTGTTCAAACATTCTTTAAATAAATTTTCGAATTTAAACGGATAACTTGACTTTTAAATTTATTTAAAGGAATGTATAAGCCTTAATAATTTCGTATGATCATTGTAGCAACTCGTGAAATTAATTAGTTAAAGAAGAAGGGGCAAGGGTGTTTTTCTTATTGAATCAAAAGAGTGAATGTGACATTGACCTGCTATTAATTTTATGTTTGGCATATCATTTGTGAGAATATATACTAACTACAACATAATCAAATGCGATATCAACAGGAAGGATATGAATCAAATAGAGAATTTCTCTTTATTTTCTTGGTTTCACAAACTGATAATTTCTTATTGGCTGTTACAAACGAAAATCAAGTATATTTGCCCTGGAAAAAAAAATGAATGAGGAAGGGAAAATCATGAGAAATTAAGCATAGATAGTAGGGTTCTCCAAAAGATATGTTTCCACAACTTTGTAAATACCAATTGCTTTGTCCTTGCCTGCCTTAATTTCCTCCTCTTTTATCTCAAACTCCCCAATTGTGTGGTAATTACTTGTCATCTTACATATGCAACCTCCATCGCTAATGGCTTCAAACTTCACCTCATATGCAATAGATTCAAGTTTATCACCTAGAGCATCTCCTTCAATCATCGTGTACTTGCACATAAGATTGTCTCTGTCAAGCTCATCGATCCGATGTTTAACATATTTGAAATGGCTAGCTGTGATATTAGTACAAGAGAAATTGCAATCATATTCAAGTATTACTTACAAAAAATCAATCAACCAGGTAAGAATTTGTTAATTATGCGAGTATAATGTGACAAACCTTCAGTGAAGTTGACTTGCTCAATGCTTCCAGCTCCTCCATCACCATGGATTACATCCACACTTTTGATGAATTGAGGCAGCAGTTTGGGGATCAAAGTGTTGGACTCAATGATCAAGGCCTTGAACATGCGTGCTGCGTCGATGGGGCAAGTGAATTCTTGAGTAAAACTTGTGATACCCATGGTTCAAGCCCCAAGAGGAAGAGGAGATATGGAGATTCGAAATTTTTATGGTTTTCAAAAAGGCATAGGTTGCTTTGCAGGTTTTAAAGATGATAGGCTTGGTAACGGTCCACTTTCTAATTACATTCAAAGACGGAAAGCCTCAACCAATAACCTTTGATTTCAAAGACTTCAATATTTGCGGGCTGAGGAGTTTCTATTCCAAGAGAAATGGGCAGAAATACTTGACAAAGAAGTACATGGCAAACGTAAATTTGACTCAAATATAATTGTAAGTTAGTTTTAAGAAGAATTTTCTAATTTTTTCTTGATGACATCCATGATTCAAATTCTTTTTTACGAAGAAAATTTTAATTTGATATAGATAAATGAATTACAGTTATTAAAATTTAAAATTTGAATTTATTATATGTTAAAATAATTACATCAATCAAGAGTTAAATTTTAAATTAAAAATAATTCATTTTTAACTAAAATTAAAAGATAACTCTTTGAAGAAATTATTTCATCGACTATAATTAAAATTTTTAGATTTTATAAACATGATTTGAAAGTAACACGTTTTAAATTTAACATGGAAATTAATACTCCAAAAAAATTTTAAATATTAAAAGTTAAATTCAAGAAAAAAATTCGAAATTTGCCTAACCATGTAAATTATTCTTTTTTATATCATAATTTTTTTCACATAAGCCTGCCAAATTCACATTATGTTCCACGTTGATGGTGAAGTTTCAATTTCTAATAAAAGCAAGTCAATATTGCACTACTAAACGTAGAAAAATTAAAGATACACATTATTCACGTTATTAAAGATACAACTTACTAAACCCACATCAAGAATTGTGTGGGTTTCAATTCAATCCTTATTAAGGCAATTATAGCCAGACACAGCAAATTAATATTGAAGATTTTAGCTAAGCCACTAAATTTTGAAGAATAATCGACATTTTTAGCGACGTTTTTTAAAGACTTGCAAAATGGAGATATTTGAGTTGAATTAAGCATAAGCATCAGGGTTCTGAATGAGATAACCTTCCACAACTTAGTACATAGCCAAGGCCTTTTCCTTGCCAGCCTTGATTTCCTCTTGAGTAAGCACAAAATCACCTTTGGTGTAGTAAGTGCTTGTCATCTTGTTTCTGCTACCACCTTCTGCTGTGGCCTCAAATTTAACCTCATAGGTAATCTTTTCCAGCTTGTCCATTAATCCATCCCCTTCAGTCAAACTGTATTTGTATGAAAAATTCTTCTCATCAAGCTCATCAGTCCGGTTCTTGATGCACTTAACTTGGCTACCTGCACAATATACATGTTAATAGGCCAACAAAAACATAATTCGGCAATGATAATCCTTTAAAAAAAATACTCAAACTTCTTTTTATGACGTTTTAATTATAGATGTTGAAATTTAAATCTCAAATGAATCAATTGGACTAAACCTCGGATACAAATGTTGATTAATCTTCATAGTAATAATGCCTTATATGGTTAAAGATTGTTGTTGTCACAATAAGGTATAGTTATTAGCAGAAGGAAATGTTAAGACAAATGTAAAATTGTAGCTTATTGCACCTTCAGCAAAGTTGATCTGCCGGATGCTCCCAGCAGCTCCATCACCTTGGGTAATTTCAATGCTCTGAACAGCCAATGGCATGAGTTTTGGGATGAGATTGTGAGAGTTAACAATCAAGGCTTTGAATAGTCTGGTGGAGGGATTGGGGAAGTGTACTCATCACTGTAACTGGTCACACCCATTGGATATATCAGCAAGTTAAGGAGATGGCTAAGCTCTATTCGAGGTAAGAAGTTTTCTGAAACTTGTCGAGGTGATTGCCACTGGTCAAGCAGGGTATATTTATAGGTTCAAATTCAAGGATGCTTATCCACGAAATTGTTTCTTATATGTAATTTTCAAGGTTGATTTTCCAAGGACCTGAGACTCTTACAAATGCAAAGAACAAAATTTTGGATCTCTTTTGATGACCCAAACCAACCTCTACATTGTAGAATCAATGATCCAAAACATTTGTCCTAATGACAAATGCAAGAATCATTACCACAATATTAACAAATCACTAAATTAATAGCTTTTCATAATTTTTTATTGGATATTTAATATTCATTTTAAAAGTAAAATGATTTTATGCAAGAATAACACAAGACAAAGTATGCTAATAACAAAACAAAATATTTATTTTTATTTTATTTAAATTTGATTTAAATATGAAATAAGAAAATTGATACCGTATCATGAGTATTGATTCACATCATGTTGTGAGTGTCGGATATTTAATCATAAAACAACGCCCACAACGAGAAATTTTTTACTCAAATCCATATAAGCCTTAATGGAACATTCTCTGTTGAAATTCCAATGAGATTGAATTGGTAATCATGTCTTATATCAGAGTATATTTTGGCAATGCTTTGTCTGCTTCAATCAACCATCTCCTGGAATGACAATTCCCTTATCTTTTCAATCACTCGATTACTGAATGGCATCTGAATTTAGAGGATTCAACTTTTCCATTCAAATTTATCTTTATAGACGGCAATAATCTGCCATGCTAAAGTCCTTTTTCATTTGGTAATGAAAGAATCCTTTCTCCATTGTTTTCAGTTTTATAGTATTTTCTTTCAGGCTTGTAACTCGACTTGTCCCAGAATAATGTTTTTATAGGAAAATCTTATTAAATCATGCTGAACAACTAGTTCTCATAATGCACAAACAAATAGTATAATTGTATATTCTTACAATAGAAACTGTTCTCACCCTAAATCAAAACATCATTTGAATTTTAAAGGTAACACACTGAAAACCGCCCAAAACTATCTAGATGACTTTGCTTCTGAAGTTTAACCCAATCCTTCATGTAACACTATCCTCCATATTATGGCTGTTCACCAGACAACTAAATTTCTCCAAGAATTGGGAAAAAAAAAAAAAAAAGGAAAAAGGAAAAGAGCCGCCGTATCCACCTCTACATTGCTGCTGCAGTTAACACAGGATCCCTATTGCAAACACTAGAACAAGGTGGCATTTGCCTAAATGAATCACATAAAGTCATCCTCATCCATATCATCATAAGCATTAACAACCAAATCATCATCTGGTTTATCAACATGGAGCTGTTTTTTCTTGCCACCTGCAAAAAATCAAAAAGCAGTTGAGAATTGCAGTACTTAAAATTTTGATTACAGGCATAATATGAAATTAAGAAGCTATGTAATCAGAACAAATAGTTCAACCCTAGCCCGTCGGGTTATGTAAAGCAAGCCTAACTGCCTAAGCCTAAATATTTCAAGGAATAAAGATTTATGGGCTCTGCACGTATAACCTTCTAGAAGATCTTTGTGGGAAAAAGAGTGTAACTGCTATCATGTGGAGGAACTTTAACAATATATATATTGCCCTTCTTTCAGATTATGTGTGGTGTGGCATTTAACTACTCTTGCTATAAGCATAATGCTCGATTGCACATGTAAGTAATTACACTAAGATATATCTGATATACTCTTCCTTCAAAAATGGAGTGGATGTCATTTTCTTCCCACAATTGATTCAAAATTCTGAAGTATGTGTAAAATGGAAGCACCCGTGCATATAAACATGGGACTCAAGAATGAAAAAATGAACTGAAATTATTTTGCCTGTCTTCTTTTTACTTGTGGCTTCTTTCTCTGCTTTTAGCTTTTCATTTACAATTGCTGTGATTGAAGATGCAATATCTTTGGCATCAGCTGCTTTCAGAGAAGTCATTGATAGTCTCATCACTGCCTTGAGTAGTGCCATATAATGGTAACTTTTCTGCATCAAAGGATGTATTTGGGCAATGTTAGAACTTTCTCATATGGCCATAGATAGGAACAGAAAGATGCTTAATCAAACCTTATATGGCAGAAGCTTATGAGAAATAAGCTCAGCATATTCCGCGAAGTCACTTTCAGATTTGGGAATAAAATTATCAAGAGTCTTGTCATCACCTTTCTTGGCGAAAAGTTCAGTAGTGGACCTGTAATCAGCTTCTTCTACAAGCCTATGATAGAAAGCAAATTATCAGAACGTGGTGCCTTAACAAGAAAATCCATGAAGTCTTAGAAAAATATCAATTTTGGAGACATACAAGCAAAATGTGGTGGCTTAACAATTCTGAGATCCAAGCATGTGGATGGGTGGGGAAAAGCAATATGACTTCGGTTAATTTAGAACTCCAAAGAATTAGTCCTAAACAGAGGTGAGCTAATCTATGCTGTAGCAATTATATTATGCAAATGACCAAAAATTTCAACAGTGTCATCATTGTAGAAGCTAAAAGTGCTAAATTCCTACCGTTGTCGGTGAAGTTTCTCGGCCACGGAATCAAAGGGCTCTTCCTTAGCCACTTTAATAGTTTTCCCTTTTTTTTCAGTAGCTTTTGATGCAGTTTTTTTGGGGTCCTTCTCTTCAGGAGCTTTTGCTACAGGTTGCTGATAGGAAATAAGGAAGCAATGGATTAGCGCAAGCAATTAGTCTTATCTATTATCAGATATTCAACAAAAATACCTGTATATAACAACATTCTTTGCACAGAATGTCCTCTGAAAACAGCTACGTAACAACTTAGACATGTAAAAAGACATTTTTACTATGAATTTAAAACAATAGGTCTTTTATGCAAAAACTATTATTCTATCTATGTCCATGTTAATATTGTTCTTACTTTTGTCCATTGGTTTATTTAGTAAGAAAGGTGATTAACCATGTTATGCTGACACTCTAATTAGCCTCCAAGCAATTGTTGTGACAGCAGTCAAAGAGATACAGGTTTAGAAGACACCATAACAGCTCTTTGTAACACTCCATCTTCTTGATTCTAGCTCCAAATGATAAGAATTGAGATCAGATTGCTTAATGAATGCATGCAAGATAGTAATGAGTCACGAGAAGAAATTCCTATGACATCAAGAATGATGTTCATCTCAATAATGTTTGAGACACCAAATCCAAGTTATAAGTTTGGTTGGTAATCCAAGATTAGATACTACAATTTATACTAATATTTGTCCATCTAACAATCTCCTATAATACGTGTATCAAAACCAAATTCGGGATATTACTTATTATAATCCAAAAGAGCCAATAACTTTCAAAATTTCACTAGGAGACCAATACACCAAACTCAACACTTGTAACCAGATCTTCTAGCCTATGTTACGTGGTAGAAGTTTGTTGCTAAGATAGCTATTTTGCACATATTTTATTGCATAGATTTTTAAAGGCAGGATAAATATTGATAGTCAATAAAGAAAAGCCCTGACCGTAAAAACTCAAATGATACTGAGTTATAACGAAATCATCATACCTGAGGAGGTTCATCTTCGTCCTCCCATGATTCCTTGACATCATTATCATCAACATCTTCATCATCCCATTTGCTTTTAGGTTGCTCCTTTGTAAGGAGAGGTGGAATCTCATCCTCTGTGACAATAGCATATGACTTAGTGAGAAAAGAAAAAGGACAAGAAGACAAAAAGAGAACAAGCAGCAGATCAAAATAAAAAAGGACATAATGTGATAGGTTCAACAATTAAGATCGTAAATTACTGAAACAGACCATAGTTTTACGGCTTTTAACTTGTTAAAAGCAGTTGAAAGATAAATTGAATTGAAGCCACTTTAAGGTAACGTTGGTATCCTTATAGTTCAAACCTCCTAGACAAGACTATGGGGCTATCGACAGGCAATGGCTCAGCTATATTTGAGCACAAGAACTTCCTAATCCCTGCAATTGAAGCCCACTCTAGCTTAACAGGATGTTGCCAGAATTATTAATCTTCCACCACAAGGAGTTTTTTTTTACTAAATAAAAAAAATAAAACCCACTAAATTTCTCCATAATCTACTTCACTCCATCTGGCAACACCATAGCCAATTTCCCAAAAAACCCTTACTCAAAGCAGTCAGCTTTGAAACACCTCAACCCATAAAAACGAAAGCAAAAACAAATAAAAATTCCAACTTTCAATCAACCCAATTAACTTGAAGCTCTTATCATGAAAGTTTATGCATAATAAAACATACAAAAAATTGAATGTTACTTATCAATCAAAGCCCTACTAAAACAAATCAAATTTGGGCCAAAAAAAAAAATTACCCCAATCCTCCATCTACTCTTCACTTATCGAAATTCCACGAATCGAAGAACAATCCTGAATACCACAAAATTAAAACAAAACAATCAATCCTTTATAGATTAAATATATATATATATTGAGAAGAAGAGAAAAACCATGAAAATTTTACTTGCCTTGGAAGAATTATAGTTGTGAAGTTGATGTTAATCTGGATTAGTTGTTTTTTGCTCACAGTTCAGACGCCAAAACACCAACTAAAAGGACGCTGAACTTTTAGGGTTTTTATATATATATTTTTTATCATTGGATAGAACTTTACATATTTTCCTAAATTTGTTTAATTATTAAATAAAAAGCTAAAGACGAATTTTTATTTTTTTTGACTTTACTTTTTTGTTTCTAATTTTAATTTGACTTTTTTTTTTAGTAACGAAGAATTCGTAGTGGACTCCAAGTCGTTCTAGATCCTTGGCCCATTAATTGGCCTATTCCAATTTATTTTTAAATTTACCTAAATACCCTAACTTAAGATTCTTTGCTAGTAATAGTATTCTAGGATAAAACCTATTTTTAAATTATAATTCAATAATTATTTAATTATTTAATATTTTATTCTTATTAATTAAGCTTTTAAATTTTTATTTTGATTCAATTAAATTATTAATTGAACAAAATTTAATCACTTAAAAAAATTAAATTAAGTAATTTTTAAATTTTAATCAATTGAATCTTTCGAAAGATTTTAAGAGAAAATAAAAGAATATAAAAAATATTTTATTTTATTTAATTTTTACATATATTAATTGCATAACATGATAAATTTTTACTTATTTTATTGCTGTTATATGAAATTTTATTTTAGTTAAAAAAATTAATGATATTAATTTTTTCATCTAAATAAGAACTTTACTAAATATAAATAAATATTAAAAGAATTGATTGATTCTAATAAAAAAATGAGAACATGGATTTAATTATACCGGTAGCTAGTTGATCCTAAATATGATAATTTTAGTTGTTTCTTATGTTAGACACAACACGAATAATTAAAATATAAACGCAATACAAATTATGAAATATATCAAAATTTTAAATATGAATATGATATAGTTATTATAAATATTACACATAACATAATTAACACTAATAAGATTAATTAGTTTAACAGGATACAATTAACATGACTATTAAATATTAACTTATTTAAATCAAAAAATATTTTTTATGAAAAATGTAATGTTACCATAAATAAAAATGAAATAAATTTATTCATTGTTATGTCTATTTGATTTAAAATTAAAATATAATTTTATAAATAAATTTAGTTATTTATTAGTACAGATGATTCAATAAAATAAAGTTGGAATCATATAAACTCATGAGTATTTTCTACATTTGTTAAACTTTTAAGCATTACATCATCATATTATTGCTACGGGAGGAGTCCAATTTTAGCTCGATTAATTTTATTAGAGTTAATTACATTTTTTATATTGGAATTTTTTAAAAAATATATAAATTAATATTTATATGATATCTAACTAATATAATTTTATTATATAAATATTATTTGTTAAATAAAAGTATTAAATATTTTGTAAAAACTTTTATGTGAATGTCACGTGACAAGAAATGATTGATCGATCTTAAACAATTTTTATGATTCAAGTAAAAAATACATATTTAATTTATATTAAAAAAAAACATTGATAGTATATGTGATGAATACATAACTTGATAATATTTATCAAATATTATATATATAAGTTAATATAATTAACAAGATTAAAATTTGGATTAATATGATACTTTAAAAGTTTATGGTGTAAATTATATATTATTTGAAAGTTTATAATAAAAATTATATAATTTATTTCTTAAGTACAAATTTATATATTTTTCTAAAATTCAGATACCAAAATGTAATTAACTCATTTTATCATTCAACTTGGTATCTTTCTTCATTTTAGAAAAAGGAAAAAAAAAAAGAAAGAAAAATTAACTCTTTGAAATTATTCAAAATATTCAATTAAAAAAGAATGAAATCTCTAAAGATAAAGTTAAAAATGAATTCATAACTTAGTTCGATTAGTTTATATAATTACATTTAAAGATCTTATTCAATGTATGCAACACATTTTTTTATTTTTAAATTATGACTTTTAAAAAATAAAAATTAAAATCACTATAAATTTAACAGAAGCTCGCAGAAAAGAAATTGGAGTTCAATATGGTTAAATGACCTCGAATTCTGAGCAAATTTTACAAAACAGAAAGTTTTTACCCAGTAAATAGCGTGTTCATGTGGTTTTTGCTAAGGCTTGTGTTGTATTCAAGAATGGCTGCCACAGGTCAATTGGCCTTTAAATTTAAATTTTCTCTGTTCGTAGAGTATAATATTTTGTCAACGAATTGTACCTAATGCCGCAGACAATGTTAGAAAAAAAATGATTAGAACCCCCCCTTCAAAGTTGACTTACTCTTAATGCTGCTGGCTCCCTGATTTTTACTCTTAATGCATCCTAGCAAGAGGCTTTGGTCCAACAATTAGGCTTGATGTTAGTCTGTACAATAGGCTTCAATCTGGCAACAAGTTATATCTTTTAGGTAGCAGAGTTCATCAGACATGACCCAATTTGTCCAAATCTGATTTTTTTTTTTTTTTGTTGGGAGGGGGGAGGAGCATATCGTTAAATGACCCTGGCAACCATGGCTGTTTGTTGGAGCTCAGGCTTGATGGATTTAAAATTCCGAAAAAACTAGGTGTCGTGTCTCACAAGCAGTTGGATGTCTAATGAAGAAGAATCAATTAAGAAATTTCTGCCAGAAATAGTTTGGCGGCTTAGGCATCTTTTCTGAAAAAATTGATCATACCATGTGTTCAGTAATTTGGCAAATCTTGAAAGATGAAGATAAATTGATAATGCAGCAACTCATTTGCAGTAGATTGCTTGAATCCATCACAGTTTCTAGTAAATGCTCCTTAATTCTCCTGGACCAGCAATGGCAAAAGTAAAAGGTAAAAAAAAAAAAAAGGAAGAAAAAACGAAAAGCAACTCCCTCACACAAGCACAAATCCATTCCACATCTAATTTATGATCATTGAAGTGGATCCGATCTCAATATTGGGATTTTCAGTAGGCGTCAGGATTTGCGAGGAGGTAGGCTTCAACAGCCTTGAATAATTCCGAGGCCTTTCCTTTGCCTGCCTTGATTCCCTCTTCTGTGGTCTCGAATTCGCCAATGGCGTAATATTTACTAGTGATCTAACATATGGATCCCCCGGCAGGAGATGGCTCCAACTTGACATTGTTAATCAATAGATTATTGGTGCCACTTTGTGAATCCCATCCTATCTCACATGTCAACATGGTTATGATCATGGATGAAACATTTCCATTTGATGCGTGTTCAGTCATAAAATAGCGTCCATGACGCCAGGGAGTCCCTCCCACCATGCATCCAAAGGGGGTCTTTGAATATATTTGTTGATAATTGTTTGTTATTTTCCTGGGAATAAAACATGTTGCAAGTTGTAATAAAGCAACAAAATAACATGAAATGGTTAGAAACCATGACAGTACACGTTGCAAAATTTATCCGAGTGACAGCATAGGGCCAGCTTTCACCCTGTCAGGATCCTGATCAGCCAAAATTGATCAATGTTTGTGTCAAATTTGAACATGTTTATGTACTTAGGCTCACGTAAGATAAACAAAAACTGAAACTTTGAGACTTCGCTCTTCCCAAATGCTCCATTTACCCCCGTTAAATTTATATAATTTTCTAATTGCTCTTCAACTAGCCCCCCTGTTTTTCCCTAAATTCTCTCTTTACCCCCACTTAGGTTTTTATAACCTTGAACTTCGCTTTCGGGTAGTTGGAACATCTTGACTACTACCACTTCTCATTGGTTGATGTTCATGAGCCATAAGTGAACTGCCAGACGACCCTGCTTTGAGCCTCTTCTTTATCTACATGTTTGGCAATTCTTGGGGTTTGAAATTTTCCCAATGTTATATCATTTCATCGAAAAAATAAAATAAAATTTATCTATATTATCTGGTGTCACTATGTCAGCATCCTTTTGGAAAATGGTAGTGGCATTCATCATGTCAATTACCCAAAATTCTACCATAAACCCTTTCCTTCAAAAACGTGGTGAAGACTTTGTGGATTTAAACTTCCACAACAATTTGTCTTCCAGGTTGCATCAAGGAATATGTGTCAGAATTGTTTCACATTTCTTCTGAAACTTGACTTTGTTATGTTCAATATATAATTAGTAAATCTGGAAAGATGAAGATGCTGAACTCATCATTGTCAATGGATGGCTTGATCTTACAACAATTTATTAATGCAGTTGACATTTACATTTCAAGCTTGCGGGTAATCTCAGACAAACTATGAACTCTTATTATCAATCTAAAGGCCACATCATATGACATATGGACTGACTGACAACTACAAAAACTAAAAAGTAAAAAAGAAAAAGGTAATTCTCTCTCACTCAAAGCACACATATGTTCCACACTGTCTGATCATTGAAGTGTATGCTATTTCAATATTGAAGTGAATACCAACATTGCAGGTGAACCCAAATTTTTTGGAAGTAACAAAAGCTTGATAACTATATTTTTTTCATTTCATATATCAAAGATAATACAACTCAAACTCCTTAATTATATACTGAAAATACAGATGATCACAGCCAGAGACCACCACTCTTATTAGCCATTGAAAGAAAGTTCGGCAAAAAGCATAAAGAAAAATCAGAATCACACAATTAAAAGTGAGATGACATGAAGAACAGCAAGCAGGAGCTGTGAAATGAAAGCAACCTAGTTGTAGAGATCAGGATTTGCCAAGAGGTAAGCTTCAACAGCCTTGTACATTCCGGAGGCCCTTTCTTTGCCAGCCTTAATTTGCTCTTCATTCATCTCAATGTCACCAATGGTATAATACTTGCTGGTGCTCTTGCAAATTGATCCTCCATCTGGTGCTGCCACAAACTTGGTCTCATAACTGATTTTCTCAAGTGTGTTCATCAAAGCATCTCCTTCGATCACACTGTAACTGTATGAGAAGTTCTCCTTGTCTATTCCTTCAACCTTTTGTTTCACATACTTGAATTGGCTGCCTACATTTGTTACCAAGCAAAAAACTTACATGCTATTTTATTTCTCAAAATTAGAAAATGGAAAGGAATTTCAAGTGGCAAGAAATGGAAACTAACCTTCACCAAAAGTAATCTTCTTGATACTTCCGGGCCCACCATCTCCGTTAACAAGCTCAGAGCTCTTGATTGCATGTGGCACAACCTTGGGGAAAAGGTTGTCACCGTCAAGAACAAAGGCCTTGAACATCTTGGCTGGGGGGACTGAGGTAGCAACCTCCATTTCATAAGTGACAACACCCATGATTCTACACTAGGAGTTTGAAAATGTTCAAATTTGAGAAGATGAAACAAAGAGAAAAAGAGGAAGAATAACTGAGTTTTTGAGTTGTGGGAAGAAGTGAGAACTAAGATGTATTTATAGTTGCTATTACCTTCAAAGAATTTGCAGTGGTCAAAAGAAGCACCCTGCATGAAATTTTCCATAGTAAATGGCCAATTGATCATTTTAAAATGTTGTACCAACCTATAGAAGAAAAAAAAAAAAACATTTTATTAATGCCTGGTGCCATGCGGCCTTTTGGCATGTAAACAGACTGCAAAATTTCAATATAATAACAGCAAAGTGGATATCAGAGGGCAGCAACAATTTGACAAAATTAAGTTGTGAAGATGAAGGCACCTTTCGTTGACTAACTATTTCATTATCATAAGTGAGAAAATAAAGACCAAAAGATATAAATAAATAAATATATATATATATATATATATTTATCAAATTAAAGCTTGAGAAGACTTGGTGGACTATCTAGAAAGCAAGTACTGAAAGAGGTAATAGGTATATGGAATCCTTGTATGACTTTTTAAAAATATACAAAAATAAAATAAAATTTATTTTTTTATTTTTATCTTGCACATTTAAATAAATTTTTATAAATATATCTTTTTAAATATAAATATATTAATTTTAATAAATCCAAAATAAAATTTATATTATTAAATAAAAAATTAATTTATTAAATATATATAAGATACAAATATAAGGTCAATATTATATTACTTATTTATGTATCCATGCTTAATAAAAAATTTTAAATCATATGCATTTTTATTCCCTCTTTAAAATTTAATTTCCATCCCATCTCATTACCATAAAAAATCTGATTCCTCATCAAATTTAACTAAGATTGACATCCCTTTACCTCCAATTAAGTTTTAAACCTTAGAACTTAACTGTTGGGTACTTGGAACATCTTGATTACGACCATTTCTCATTGGTTGGATGAATTATGGCTGTTTTTTATATAATTGGGTTTTCTGCAACATGAGCCACAAGTGAACTGCTAGACGACCCTGCTTTGAAACTTCTCTTCATCTACGTGTTTGACAATTCTTAGAGTTTGAAATTTTCCCAATGTTATATCATTTCATCAAAAAAATAAAATAAAATTTTTCTATACTATCTGATGTCACTATTGACGAGAGATTTATCACACTTGAAACCATATAAACATATATCAAAAACTTTATATATATATGTTAGATATTATTTGAATCCAAAAACTTAAACTATTGAGTTTTTAGATCTTTTATATATATATATATATATAATATCTCATTTATATTTTTTAGTAATGTTGAATTTTTTACTTACATATGAACCATCCAATAATCTTTCTCATTCACTTGTAAGCTTTCATCAAATCCCACATCGATTTTTCGTGCGAGTAAATCCTATCAATACTTTTTTTGAACCAAAAAACCTCACATCTCTAGTGTATTTTTAGGGCAGATCATATACTCAACCTTGTAGTCTAGGTTATCTTAGTACCCCTCAAGTTTGCACTCGATGTTGATTCAATACATTGCCGAGTTTCACTTTTGCACACTCACTACATTCAGTCAAACCTTTTTACATTGATGCCGGCATTTGAGCGTATAAAATTGATGGACGCGATTAACTTCCGATTTGTCAACAATCTTTTCATTTAGTAATACTACTTAAATTCGAATTCGTGACCTTGGCTCTAATAGCACTTATTGGGCATAGGGATGACAAGCTCGTTTCGAACCCGATCCGACTTTATATTCACAAATCCCAAACTCGATTCAACCCAAAAGTTTTTTTATTTTTTTCATACTCAAATCCGATCCAATATTATATAAATTGTATCCAACTCAACCTGACCTTAAATTAATAAAATATTATTTTTTTAATATAAAAATATTATTTTTTAATATAAATATAAAATTATATAAATATATATAAATAAAAAATTAAATAATTAATTAAAAAATAATTTATATATATCGAATCGGGTGTGATCGGATTTGCCTAAAATTCAACCTTGATCCGAAACTCGATTTTCAAAAAAAAAAATAATGTTATGAGATCGAATCAAATCGGAATCCATCGAGAGAGTAGTTGGATTGTCAACTCTAGTTGAGCTTAAATCGATAAATACAATAACGTAAAAATAATATATAATAATAAACTTATAATAATAATTAATAATTAATAACGTAAAAGAAATAAAGCACATAAAAAACAAGAAGTTTTTACCCAGTACATAGCGTGTTCATATGGTTTTTGCTTAGGCTTGTGTTGTATTCAAGAATGGCTGCCACAGGTCAATTGGCCTTTCTCTGTTCGTAGAGTATAATATTTTGTCAACAAATTGTACCTAATGCCGCAAACAATGTTAGGCAAAAAATGATTAGAACGCCCCTTCAAAGTTGACTTACTCTTAATGCTGCTGGCTTCCTGATTTTTACGTTCTTTTTCTTTCAATATCATGCATCCTAGCAAGAGGCTTTAGTCTAACAATTAGGCTGGATGTTAGTCTGTGCGATACGCTTCAATCTGGCAACAAGTTACATCTTTTAGCTAGCAGAGTTCATCAGACATGACCCAATTTGTCCAAATCTGATTTTTTTTTTTTTTTGGGTGAGGGCAGGAGCATATGGTTAAATGACCCTGGCAGCCATGGCTGTTTGTTGGAGCTCAGGCTTGATGGATTTAAAATTCCGAAAAAACTAGGTGTCTATGTCTCACAAGCAGGTTGGATGTCTAATGAAGAAGAATCAATTAAGGAATTTCTGGCAGAAATAGTTTGGCTGCTTAGGTATCTTTTCTGAAAAAATTGATCATACCATGTGTTCAGTAATTTGGCAAATCTTGATAGATGAAGATAAATGGATAATGCAGCAACTCATTTGCAGTACATTGCTTGAATCCGTCACAGTTTCTAGTAAATGCTCCTTAATTCTCCTGGACCAACAATGCAAAAAGTAAAAGGTAAAAAAAAAAAAAAAAAAACAAAAAGCAACTCCCTCACACAAGCACAAATCCATTCTACATCTAATTTATGATCATTGAAGTGGATCCAATCTCAATATTGGGATTTTCAGTAGGCGCCAGGATTTGCCAGGAGGTAGGCTTCAACAGCCTTGAATAATTCCAAGGCCTTTTCTTTGCCTGCCTTGATTCCCTCTTCTGTGATCTCGAAGTCACCAATGGTGTAATATTTACTAGTGATATTACATATGGATCCCCCGGCAGGAGATGGTTCCAACTTGACATTGTTAATCAACAGATTATTGGTTAAATCAATAGATTATTTGTGCCACTTTGTGAATCCCATCCTATCTCACATGTCAACATGGTTAAAACGATGATCATACATGAAAGATTTAGGCTCAATTTGATGCGTGTTCGGTCATAAAATAGCATCCATGACGCCAGGGAGTCCCTCCCACCATGCATCCAAAGGGGGTCTTTGGGTGTACTTGTTGATAATTGTTTGTTATTTTCCTGGGAATAAAACATGTTGCAAGTTGCAATAAAGCAACAAAATAACATGAAATGGTTAGAAATCATGACAGTACATGTCGCAAAATTTATCCGAGTGACAGCATAGGGCCAGCTTTCATCCTGTCGAGATCCTGATCAGCCAAAATTGATCAATGTTTGTGTCAAATTTGAACATGGTTATGTACCTATGTTCATGTAAGATAAACAAAAACTGAAACTTTTGAGAATGCTCCTTTTATCCACATTAAATATATATAATTTTCTAATTGCTCTTCAATTAGGCCCCCTGTTTTTCCCATAATTCTCTCTTTGCCCCCACTTAAGTTTTTATAACCTTGAACCCTTGAACTTCACTGTTGGGTACTTAGAACATCTTGACCTTCAATGCCCTTCGAAAATAGAATTGATTGATTATTTTGCAGAGAATTTTTAGGCGTGGAGATGTGAACCTGAAGCTGCAGTATTTATAGAGTGAGATCGAAGAACAGCTTTTCTAGGTGATTTCTTCATACTATACTGGACGGTTTCAGTTTGGCAACGTAATCATTAGTTTTCACTAGACAATTGATTCAGGTTTGTGTATTCTTCGATCAAGAACAAATTTATGGATCTTGAAAGCTGTCAATATCAGAAGATTAAAAAGAAAGAACTCTAATATTTTAAGCATGGAAGACCTTGAATCAAGTGCGTGGACTGTTACGAACTCGCAACTATGTTGACTAACTTAGAAAAGGGTTTTGAAGTTAGGTTCACTTGCAGCTTTTAGCCACAGGTGAACCAAAGACGCTGCTTCATAGCATATTTCTCCTCAGTGTTATATGTATATATTGTTTATCAGGAGTTGTGGACTTAGTCTTACAGCCCATATCAAGTTATTAGGGGGAAATTTTAGGCAACGAATGTCAAATTCTTTATGACTTTAGGTTCATATCTTGGAAATAGGAGGGATTTGGATTTCATCATCACTCCTGGTTCACCTTAAAAAATTTATGACAGAAAAAAAAAAAAGAAATTGCAAATAATAAAAGCTTGATTGCTATATATTTTTCATTTCATGTATCAAATATAATACAACTCAAACTCCTTAATTATATAATGAAAACACAGACGATCACGGCCAGAGACCACCACTCTTATTAGCCATTGAAGGAAAGTTTGGCAAAAAGCAAATAAGAAAAATCAAAATCACACCATTAAAAGGGATATGATATGAAGAATAGCAAGCAGGAGCTGCGAAATGAAAGCAACCTAGTTGTAGAGATCAGGATTTGCCAAGAGGTAAGCTTCAACAGCCTTGTACATTCCGGAGGCCCTTTCTTTGCCAGCCTTAATTTGCTCTTCATTGATCTCAATGTCACCAATGGTATAATACTTGCTGGTGCTCTTGCAAATTGATCCTCCATCTGGTGCTGCCACAAACTTGGTCTCATAACTGATTTTCTCAAGTGTGTTCACGAAAGCATCTCCTTCGATCACACTATAACTGTATGAGAAGTTCTCCTTGTCTATTCCTTCAACCTTTTGTTTCGCATACTTGAATTGGCTGCCTACAATTGTTACCAAGCAAAAATCTTACATACTATTGTATTTCTCAAAATTAGAAAATGGAAAGGAATTCATGTGGCAAGAAATGAAAACTAACCTTCACCAAAAGTAATCTTCTTGATACTTCCAGGCCCACCATCTCCTTCAACAAGCTCAGAACTCTTGATTGCTTGTGGCACAACCTTGGGGAAAAGATTGTCACCGTCAAGAACAAAGGCCTTGAACATTTGGCTGGGGGGATTGAGGTAGCTACCTCCATTTCATACGTGACAACACCCATGATTCTACAATAGGAGTTTGAAAATGTTCAAATTTGAGGAAGATAAAACAGAGAGAAAAAGAGGATGATTAACTGAGTATTTTGAGATGTGGGAAGAAGCGAGAACTAAGATGGTATTTATAGTTGCTATACTTTCAAAGAATTTGCAGTGGTCAAGAAAAGCACCCTGCATGAGAATTTCCATGGTAAACGGCTAATTGATCATTTTAAAATGTTGTACCAACCTATAGGAGCAAAAAAAAAAAAAAAATCATTTGACCATTTTGTTAATAGATGGTGCCATGGGGCCTTTTGGCATGTATACAGTCTGCAAAATTTCAATATAATAACAGCAAAGTGGATTTCAGAAGGCAGCAACAATTTGACAAAATTAAGTTGTGAAGATGAAGGCGCCTTTGGTTGACTAACGACTTAATTATCGTAAGTGAGAAAATAAAGACCAAAAGATATAAATAACTAAATATATTTTTTTTTTATCAAATTAAAGCTTGAGAAGACTTGGTGGACTATCTAGAAAGCAAGTAGCGGAAGAAGTAATAGTTATTTGGAATCCATGTACCCATGACTTTTTTAAAATATACGAAAATAAAATATAATAAAATTTATTTTTATTTAACATATTTAAATATTTTTTATAAATATATCTTTTTTAAATATAAATATATTAATTTTCATAAATCTAAAATAAAATTTATATTATTAAATAAAACATTAATTTATTAAATATATATAAATTACAATAACAAAATCCATATTATATTATCCATCTTTATACCCGTATTCGATAAAAAAATTTAAATCATATACATTTTTATCCCTTCCTTAAAATTTAATATCCATCCCATCTCAATACCATAAAAAATCTTATTCCTATTGAATTTAAAGAAGATTTGACATCCCTGTTTACCTCCAATTAAGTTTTTATAACCTTGAACTTCACTGTTGGGTATTCGGAACATCTTGATTACTACCATTTCTCATTGGTTGGATGAATTATGGCTATTTTTTGTACTTGGGTTTTCTGCACATGAGCCATAAGTGAACCGCCAGACGACCCTGCTTTGAAACTTCTCTTTATCTACATGTTTGGCTATTCTTGGAGTTTGAAATTTTCCCAATGTTATATCATTTCATCAAAAAAATAAAATAAAATAAAATTTCTCTATACTATCTGATGTCACTATGTCAGCATCCTTTTGGAAAATGGTAGTGGCATTCATCATATCAATTACCCAAAATTTTACCATAAACCCTTTTCTTTAAAAACGTGGGGAAGCCTTTGTGGATTTAAATTTCCATAATAATTTGTCTTCCAGGTTGCATCAAGGAATATGTGTCAGAATAAGTTTCATATTTCTTCTGAAACTTGACTTTGTTATGTTCAATATATAATTAGTAAATCTTGAAAGATGAAGATGCTGGACTCATCATTTTCAATGGATGGCCTGATCTCACAACAATTTATTAATGCAGTTGACATTTACAGTTCAAGCTTGCAGGTAATCTCAGACAAACTATGAACTCTTATTAGCAATCTGAAGGCCATATCATATGGACTGACAGACAACTGCAAAAACTAAAAAAGTAAAAAAGAAAAGGCAATTCTCTCTCACTCAAAGCGCACATATGTTCCACACTGTCTGATCATTGAAGTGGATGCTATTTCAATAATGGGATTTTTAATAGGCATCTGGATTTGCTAGGAGGTAGGCTTCTATAGCTTTGAACAATCCCAAAGCCTTTTCTTTGCCTGCCTTGATTGCCTCTTCCTTGAGCTCAAAGTCATCAATGGTGTAATACTTACTAGTAGTCTTACACACGGATCCCCCAGCTGCAGAGAGCTTTAACTTTGTCTCATAAGTGATTTTCTCAAGTTTGTTCATCAAAGCATCGCCTTCGATCACGCTGTAACGACACACAAAATTTTCTTTGTCTAATGCTTCTACCTTCTGCTTCACGTAATTGAATTGGCTTCCTAAGAATGGAAAGACAAATATTAAAATGGAGCTGCATATCTAAGTTCCAATTCAATATATTATTCAAAGTATTTAGTTGCATCTATAAATTAATTGACTAACCTTCTTCAAAAGTAACTTTCTTGATGCTCCCAGGCTCACCATTGCCTTCAATGTACTCAACACTCTTAAAAGCCTGAGGAACAATCTTAGGAATGAGCTTGTCACCATCAAGGATACAAGCCTTAAACATCTTGGCTGGTGGGATTGTAGTAACAATCTCAGATTCATAAGTGAAAACTCCCATGATCACCGAGTGACTTGGAAATGATCGAAGAATGAAAATAGAATTGATTGCTTATTTTGCAGAGAATTTTTAGGTGTGGAGATGTGAACCCGAAGCTGCATTATTTATAGAGTGAGATTAAAGAACAGCTTTTCTAGGTGATTGCTTCATATTATATTGGATGGTTTCAGTTTGGCGATGTAATCATTAGTTTTCAATTGACAGTTGATTCTGGTTTGTGCATTCTTCGATCAAGAACAAATTTATGGATCTTGAAAGCAGTCAATATCAGAAGAAGATTAAAAATAAAGAACTCTAATATTTTAAGCATGGAAGACATTGAATCAAGTGCTTCAACTGTTAGGAACTCGTAACTATGTGGTAAATTGTAATTGGAAATGGAATGACTAACTTATATAAGGGTTTTGAAGTTAGATTCACTTGCAGCTTTTAGCCACAGGTGAACCAAAGACCCTGCTTCATGGCTTATTTCTGCTCTCACTGTTCACATGTTTTTATTGTTTATCAGCTGTCATAGATAGTCGTGGACTTGGTCCCACAGCCCATATCAAGTTATTAGCCTGGTTCACCTCAAAAGATTTATGACAAAAGAAAAAGAAATTGCAAATAATAAAAGCTTGATTACTATATTTTTTTCATTTCATATATCAAAGATAATACAACTCAAACACCTTAATTATATAATAAAAATAGAGATGATCACAGCCAGAGACCATCATTCTTATTAGCCATTGAAGGAAAGTTTGTCAAAAAGCAAAAAAGAAAAATCAAATTCACACCATTAAAAGGGAGATGATATGAAGAATAGCAAGCAGGAGCTGTGAAATGAAAGCAACCTAGTTGTAGAGATCAGGATTTGCCAAGAGGTAAGCTTCAACAGCCTTATACATTCCGGACGCCCTTTCTTTGCCAGCCTTAATTTGCTCTTCATTGATCTCAATTTCACCAATGGTGTAATACTTGCTGGTGCTCTTGCAAATTGATCCTCCATCTGGTGCTGCCACAAACTTGGTCTCATAACTGATTTTCTCAAGTGTGTTCATCAAAGCATCTCCTTCGATCACACTATAACTGTATGAGAAGTTCTCCTTGTCTATTCCTTCAACCTTTTGTTTCACATACTTGAATTGGCTGCCTACATTTGTTACCAAGCAAAAATCTTACATACTATTATATTTCTCAAAATTAGAAAATGGAAAGGAATTCATGTGGCAAGAAATGGAAACTAACCTTCACCAAAAGTAATCTTCTTGATACTTCCGGGCCCACCATCTCCTTCAACAAGCTCAGAACTCTTGATTGCTTGTGGCACAACCTTGGGGAAAAGATTGTCACCGTCAAGAACAAAGGCCTTGAACATCTTGGCTGGGGGGATTGAGGTAGCTACCTCCATTTCATACGTGACAACACCCATGATTCTACAATAGGAGTTTGAAAATGTTCAAATTGGAGGAAGATAAAAACAGAGAGAAAAAGAGGATGATTAACTGAGTATTTTGAGATGTGGGAAGAAGCGAGAACTAAGATGGTATTTATAGTTGCTGTACTTTCAAAGAATTTGCAGTGGTCAAAAAAAGCACCCTGCATGAGAATTTCCATGGTAAATGGCTAATTGATCATTTTAAAATGTTGTACCAACCTATAGGAGCAAAAAAAAAAAATCATTTGACCATTTTGTTAATAGATGGTGCCATGGGGCCTTTTGGCATGTATACGGACTGCAAAATTTCAATATAATAACAGCAAAGTGGATTTCAGAAGGCAGCAACAATTTGACAAAATTAAGTTGTGAAGATGAAGGCGCCTTTGGTTGACTAACGACTTAATTATCGTAAGTGAGAAAAGAAAGACCAAAAGATATAAAAAAATAAATATAATATTATATATATATTTATTCTATCAAATTAAAGCTCGAGAAGACTTGGTGGACTATCTAGAAAGCAAGTGAAAGAAGTAATAGGTATTTGGAATACATGTACCCGTGACTTTTTTAAAATATACGAAAATAAAATAAAAATTTTTTTATTTTTATTTTGCATATTTAAATATTTTTTATAAATATATCTTTTTTAAACATAAATACATTAATTTTAATAAATCTAAAATAAATTTTATATTATTAAATAAAAAAATTAGTTTATTAAATATATATAAATTACAAGTATAAAATCAATATTATATTATCCATCTTTATACCCGTATTCGATAAAAAAATTTAAATCATATACATTCTTATCCCTTCCTTAAAATTTAATATCTTGAATTTAAAGAAGATTTGACATCCCTTTTTACCTCCAATTAAATTTTTATAACCTTGAACTTCACTGTTGGGTATTCGGAACATCTTGATTACTACCATTTCTCATTGGTTGGATGAATTATGGCTATTTTTTGTACTTGGGTTTTCTGCACATGAGCCATAAGTGAACTGCCAGACGACCCTGCTTTGAAACTTCTCTTTATCTACATGTTTGGCAATTCTTGGAATTTGAAATTTTCCCAATGTTATATCATTTCATCAAAAAAATAAAATAAAATAAAATTTCTCTATACTATCTGATGTCACTATGTCAGCATCCTTTTGGAAAATGGTAGTGGCATTCATCATATCAATTACCCAAAATTTTACTATAAACCCTTTTCTTTAAAAACGTGGGGAAGCCTTTGTGGATTTAAATTTCCATAATAATTTGTCTTCCAGGTTGCATCAAGGACTATGTGTCAGAATAAGTTTCATATTTCTTCTGAAACTTGACTTTGTTATGTTCAATATATAATTAGTAAATCTTGAAAGACGAAGATGCTGGACTCATCATTTTCAATGGATGGCTTGATCTCACAACAATTTATTAATGCAGTTGACATTTACAGTTCAAGCTTGCAGGTAATCTCAGACAAACTATGAACTCTTACTAGCAATCTGAAGGCCATATCATATGGACTGACTAACAACTACAAAAAAAAAAAATGTAAAAAAGAAAAGGCAATTCTCTCTCACTCAAAGCACACATATGTTCCACACTGTCTGATCATTGAAGTGGATGCTATTTCAATAATGGGATTTTTAATAGGCATCTGGATTTGCTAGGAGGTAGGCTTCAATAGCTTTGAACAATCCCAAAGCCTTTTCTTTGCCTGCCTTGATTCCCTCTTCCTTGATCTCAAAGTCACCAATGGTGTAATATTTACTAGTAGTCTTACACACGGATCCCCCAGCTGCAGAGGGCTCTAACTTATAAAAGGGTTTTGAAGTTAGATTCACTTGCAGCTTTTAGCCACACGTGAATCAAAGACCCTGCTTCATTGCATACTTTCACTGTTCACATGTGCATATTGTTTATCAGCTCTCATAGACAGTTGTGGACTTGGTCTCACAGCTGATATCAAGTTATTAGGTGGAAATTTTAGGCAACAAATGTCAAATTCTTTATCTGACTTTAGGTTCAGATCTTGGAAATAGAAGGGATTTGGATTTCGTCATCAATCCTGATTCAGGTCAAAAAATTTATGACAAAAAAAAAAAGAAATTACAAATAATAAAAGCTTGATTACCATATATTTTTCATTTCATATATCAAATATGATACAACTCAAACTTCTTAATTATGTAATGAAAACACAGATGATCACGGCAAGAGACCACCACTCTTATTAGCCATTGAAGGAAAGTTTGGCAAAAAGCAAACAAGAAAAATCAAAATCACACCATTAAAAGGGATATGATATGAAGAACAGCAAGCAGGAGCTGTGAAATGAAAGCAACCTAGTTGTAGAGATCAGGATTTGCCAAGAGGTAAGCTTCAACAGCCTTGTACATTCCTGACGCCCTTTCTTTGCCAGCCTTAATTTGCTCTCTTTCATTGATCTCAATGTCACCAATGGTATTAATACTTGCTGGTGCTCTTGCAAATTGATCCTCCATCCTGGTGCTGCCACAAACTTGGTCTCATAACTGATTTTCTCAAGTGTGTCATTCAAAGCATCTCCTTCGATCAACACTGTAACTGTATGAGAAGTTCTCCTTGCTATTCCTTCAACCTTTTGTTTCACATACTTGAATTGGCTTGCCTACATTTGTTACCAAGCCAAAACTTACATACTATTGTATTTCTCAAATTAGAAAATGGAAAGGAATTTCATGTGGCAAGAAATAAACTAACCTTCACCAAAAGTAATCTTCTTTGATACTTCCGGGCCCACCAATCTCCTTCAAGGAGCTCAGAGCTCTGATTAGCTTGTGCACAACCTTGGGGAAAATGTTTATCCACCGTCAAGAACCAAAGGCCTTGAACAATCTGAACTGGGGGGATTGAGGTAGCTACCTCCATTTCATAAGTGACAACACCCATGATTCTACACTAGGAGTTTGAAAATATCAAATTTAAGAAGATAAAACAGAGAGAAAAAAAGGATGATTAACTGAGTGTTTGAGGTGTGGGAAGAAGTGATTTCTAAGATGGTATTTATTTTTGCTATACTTTCAAAGAATTTGAGGTGGTCAAAAAAATCACCCTGCATAAGTGAGAAAAGAAAGACCAAAAGAAATAAATAAATAAATATATTTACAAAAAACCAGAATCCCTTCCCAAGCCCTGTCAAACTAAAGCTTGAGAAGACATGGTGGACTATCTAGAAAGCAAGCAGTGAAAGAGGCAATTGCTGAGAAAATTTCAATGTGAACATAGAGTATGCAATATACATGTTTTTCAAACTCTTTTTTTATAAATAATATTTTTCAAACTCATATAAAGTTTACATATTTTTTTTTATGTTTCCTTGTGTTTTCCCTTTTCCCTTCTGGTACCAGCTCTTCCTTATAGTAGCTAAAGAAAAAAATTTCCCCAAACTATGTTATTTGGATTCAGAGTAAATATTAAATATAGATATGTGTCCGACGTGAATACGTATAATGTTTTTTTTAAGTTTTTTCGTACAGTTGAAGGGTCGACGAAATATGTGTCAAACATATATACATCAAAGAAAATAAAAAGTCACAGCAACGTATTCCACAAATACAAGTCTCCACTGCTTTTATTCAATAAAAAACATTATGTCATCCATACTAGGCTGAACTCAAACAGGTCACCCACAGACCATATGTCTAGAAGAGAAAGAAAGTCACATGATGAGAAAGTCCCTTAGAACACTGGCAATCCATCTTAAATTCTTCATTATGCACTCATTTTCTTGATAAGACAGTCTGGTGGGGTAGTGATCCATAGTGGGGAATAAACTTATAAGCAAGTTGCAGGAAAGATACAAAATTAGTACTATTTTATTTGCTAACACCATTTCTAAATATAATACTTCAGCATAAGTCGAATTCTACATGTTTTTCACCCAAAGATTGACTTTATTTTATCATAATAGTGCGGTAAATGTGTTGGCTTCTAGACGCCAGACTTGCATAGTTTTGCTCTAAACAGGTCATATCAGGTCATCATCTGTCGACTGTAGAAGGCTGAGACCAGGATGATCTTACTGTTTATTGGGGAGAGAAAATGACATTAAAGAAATTCTTTGATATCATATCACACTGAGCAAAGCATGGAGTTTCAGGCTTTCAGCTGTACCAAAAAGAAACATTACCATCAAAGACATAGCAGCCTTCAGCCATACAACCTGATGCAATCTAATTACATAGGCATCAGAATATTCCAAGAGGTAAGCTTCAATAGCTTTCGACATTCCCATGGCAATTTTCTTTTCGAGCCTTGATTTCCTCTTCATTGATATCAATGTCACCAATGGTATGGTAACATCTTTGATCACAGTGTTGCTGTAGGTGAATTTCATCAATCCTCTGCTTTGTGTATTTGACCTGACTGCCTGCAACAATGTTAAATCTGTTCTTAATAAAAGAATAGCCTTTAACGTGTTTAGAAAGGGAATGATGTTAATGATTCAATGGAATGTTCTGTGCTTTCTTCGGCTGTGGTTCGGTGGGGTTGTACGCATTGCCTTGTACTGTTTAATTCAAGATAACGGATAGAGATATCAATCTTACCTGCACTCAATCGACTTTTTACTTTAATGGGGATGGGAATGAAAATGAGTATTATATTATAACCTTGAAGATAAGAATGAATATGATTTTAAATTTTTATTAAATACAAATATGAGAATAAGTAATATAATACATGCTTCATATCCATACCTTATATATATTTAATATATTTTAATAAATAATTTTTTATTAAATAATATAATATTATTATTTTAGTTATTAGAATTAATCATATTTTTATTGAAAAACCATATATAATTATATTTATATTCTAAAAAATTTACCAAATATTATAGAAAAATTAAAAAATAAATTTTTATTTTTTATTTTTTAAGTTATGGGTATAAGAACTATCAATATCTATTAAATACTCACAATAATAAAAATGAGAATAAATTTAAAATATCTATTAAGTATGAGTATGAAGATAGATATAATATAAAATGTGGGGATAAGAATGGGAATGCCATACTCTACTCATACCCTACCCGTTTGACATCCCTAATAACATATAGGCTAATCTTCGAAACGTTAACATTTCACAGAATTTAAGTAATTGATTGGGCCAATGCTATTGTTTTGTTTGGACTACATTTGAATCTTGGGCCTTCTCAATTCTTTTAAGCCCATAACTGATTGTATTGCAAAAAAAATATTAAATTCAATAAATTTTTATTATTATTAAAAAAATTGGACAGAGCTTAAGTATAGATTTGATAATCTAAAATATACTAAAATGATACAATATGATATGAAAATAAATATGAAAGCAAATGATTTAAAATTTTAATAATAATTATATATAAGTTTAACAAAATCAAAATAAATATATTTAATATTTTCACATCAATATAAACTATAACATGTAATTTTTATATAACATAAATATAAATATATAAATTTTAATATTTTATATGACATAAATACATAAATTTTCAAATTTACTTAAACGAAATACTCAAGAGCAAACTAAAAGTTTTCTTGTATTACATGAAGTCAATATTTGCTATAGCTATATTATAAAAAAAGATCAATCCTTGTCACTGGTTAAGACATAAACTTCAAGCTCCCGTGATTTCAATACATGAGAATGGATTCTTTCAAATCTCAGATTAGTTTAACATAAGAAATGGCAGATGAACACTTTAAATTGTGAAACTTAACCGCCCAGCACATTAGAAAATGAAATGGCACAACAAGTGCTAGAAAAAAGTCTAATAAAATAACAATAAAAAATTTAAAGCAAAAGTAAAAATGTTATTACTCAATGAGTTTAGTTTAAACCAAACTCTGATACCCCTAGTATTTGGTTCTGCCACCTCTTCCTAACTCCTCGAATTCGGCTTTGACATCACTTCTAGTATCATAGCCTTGTTCGAAGTAGGCTATAGAGACTCAACTCCTGTACACTTTTTCATTGCAACTTGGCCTTTATCCACCACAACTATGCTCAATCAATGAAATGTTTAGACACCTCCACCTTTTGTCCCAAGCTCGCACCAACAACCACAGTAGCTCACAATGCAGCATGATCAACCTTAAACCTAATTAGCTTCTTTCACAAAGTTGACACCGTAAACTCCAACACCTCATTACGCTACATGAGTTTTTTCAATTTTTTATAAAAATAATATCATAAAATTTAAATATTATATGATAATATAATATAAAAATTTTTATAAAAATAAGATTTTAACAAAAATTATATATAAATTTATCAAAAAATATATTTTATATTTTACCTATCAATGTAATTATAATATAATAATTTTTTTATATTACATGTGTTTTATATAAAAATAAACATAACAACAATACATAAATTACTATATCTAATTATAAATATTAGAATTTAAATTTAAAACTATTAAGTAACATTGCTTAAAAATAATTATATAAGTTAATTAAATTAAACTCTAAATTTTTTATTTAAAACTAATAAAATTTAAACTAAAAATTTAATACTAATAACAAATCCACGTCCACAGCCTACATAATCATTGATCTTATGCCAAAATATATAAATTAAAAAATTAAAAAAACAATGGGTAGACTTAAAATATTGGTTGGTTTGATAAAATAATGAGAAAAAGCTAGTAGCAAGGGGCCGGCAAGTAGCAAGGTCAGGCTGCAGTAATTAAAAGAGAAAAAAAATTATTTTTCTTTTTAATAGTGTAAACAATATGACCATAGTCAAACGAATCTATATTTATAATTTATTTATTTATTTTTAGAATATTAGGGGTTGATTCATATTTAGTGATGTTAATGGATAAGGTACGAGAAAAGTAAAATATTTTTATTTTCAAATTTTTGTATTATATTTATTTTTATATCTATATCTAATAAGTATTTTAAATATATTCTTTTCTTTATTTTTGCAAATATTTATTAGTATAAATAATTTTCATACCAATAATTTTTTTAAAAATTAAAAACTAAAATTTATTTTTTTAGTTTTTTTTTTATTTTATATATTTAAATAATTTTTTATTAATATATATTATTTAATAAAAATATATTAATTTTAATTAATTTAAAATAATAATTTATATTATTTAATAAAAATTTATTTTCAAAATATATATATAAGATACAAATAGAGGACGGGTGCTATATATATAAGATTACATTCGGTAAAAAAATAACTTTATTGGTTCAAGTTTGATTTATTTAATATATAATATTCATGTTCAATTCGTATTTAATTCAATTAAATTAACATTAAATAAACATATTCATAAATATATATATAAACAAACATGTTATGTATAATAAATAAATTATAATCAAATAAATTTAAACAAATAAATCATAAATAATCATAAATTAATTCAAACAAATATAAATAACATTTAAAATATAATTAAAATAAAAGATAAAAATATAATTTTATTATTATAAATAAATTTTAAATAAATTATTCACGAATATAAAATATAAATTAATTAAATAAATCTTTATTCATATTGAATACATCCCATTAATACATCCCATTTAATAGTAAAATCGAATAACCAAACTTTCTTAAATCAAGTCCTCACTCTTTTTACTTTCTATTCTCTTAATTCTCTAAAACCCTAGTATTAACACCACTCCCCGCTCCACCCCGGCAAAATAATAATAAACCCAACCACCCCCTTTCTTCAACGCTGTCGTTTGTCTGTTTTAAGCTTTTTCTAACTTTCCGTACAATGACTGCCGCCGGTGGCGTTTCGATTGCGAGAAGTCGAGGCGGCGAAAATCGGTTTTATAATCCGCCGCCGATGAGGAAACAACAACAAGAACAACAGCTGATGATGATGAAGCAGCGGCGAGAACAAAGGCCGTTGATTTCCCTGAGTTCGACGGAGAAGAGAACAGATCATGAGGAATGCGTCACGTCATCCCCATCTTCATCGTCGGTGAATAATAACAATAAAAGAAATGATGATAATTCGACGAACTTAGATCGGTTCTTGGAGTATACGACTCCTGTGGTTCCGGCTCAGCAGTTACCCGAGGTAAATAAAACAAAAACCCAACTTTTATTAATCACAAGATTTGACCATGCTTTTTTCTTTTTTTTTTAAATCAATCTTTAATTTTGTTTAATTTTTGGATTGATTAAAAACAATGGTATAGTCCTGTTTTTATGTTGAAGAAATTTAAGGTTTAGCAGAAGTTACTATTAGCTGCAGCTAGTGCAATTACTTGACTTTGATTTCTTTATAAGAATCAAAATCCAACAGAAACTTGAAGAAATTAGTTTTATTTAATTAGTCAAAAAATGTAGGAAAATTGAAGATATTTTGTTATTAATCAATGCAAAATAGGGAATTGTTTTTTCCGAAATGTTAAGCAAACTATGAAGTATTGGAGTTTTTTTCTTAGTGCTGATTGACATTTTTATTGATGAAATTTTGGTGACAGACAAGTACAATGGGATGGAGAGGGCGAGAGGGCGGACTGGACTGTGCTCCATATTTTATTCTTGAGGATTTGTGGGAGTCTTTCAAGGAATGGAGTGCATATGGAGCTGGGGTTCCTCTTTTGTTGAATGGAAGTGACTCTGTAATGCAATACTATGTTCCTTACTTATCTGGAATTCAGTTGTATATAGACGCATCAAGACCCTTCTCAAGGCAAAGGTAAAGCCATTCAGACCTTATTTTATCTAATTATCTGCTATTATTGAGAGTCTTCGCTATCCTATTTTTCCAGTTCCTTCTTGATTGAGATTTTCTGACCGTTGATTTTTTGGATCATTATGTGGTGACAGCTAGTCCCTATTTCCTTTTTGGAAACTGTAATTGGATAATCAGGGTCAAATATATTGCAAATGTTTTCTATTAAATTGGGAAGTCAAGTATGTTGCTCAACTCTCACTTGATAGTTGATATAACTTAGGTTGTGTTCTACCCAAGTCTTGCTGATATGCTTTATAAGATCTGCTATTTTTTCCATAATCTTCCTAAGATAAATAGAGGTTGAATTTCATGATGTTTTCTTGAGCTATAAATCATTAATTGTAATTTTTCCTTGAAATGCTAGATAAACAACATGCTTGTTGCGTTATTTCATTTTGCCCTCTTTCTTTGAACAGGAGGCCTAGTGGGGAGAGTGATGCTGAATCATCCAGGGAGACAAGTAGTGATGGTAGCAACAGTGATTGTGGAATAGGTAGAAGAGCTAACAATGTTGTCCAGGAGGCTTGGAGTCAGATGGAGATTGCAGATGCGAATATCAAGAGATTGAGTCGACCATCACTTAGAAATAGACCCCTTGGGGGTTCATCAAGTGATGAAAGCGATATTTGTAGTCATCCTGGTCAGCTTATTTTTGAGTACTTAGAGCATGATCAACCATTTAGTCGTGAGCCATTGGCTGACAAGGTAAGTCTATTTCCTCTGTTACATTAGCATTTGCAGCTTCTAGTGCTCTCTCTAATATCATTGCCTTCCTTAGATTTCAGTTCTGGCTTCTCAATTTCCTGCACTAAGGACTTACAGGAGCTGTGATCTATCACCTTCTAGTTGGATTTCTGTGGCATGGTATATTTTTCTCTTTTCAAAAGACTTCATGAATCTATGGTTCTTGATTATTGCAATTGTGATTTTAAACCTAATTATATCTGACAATTTTTCATTTTTCGTCTTTTAATGAAGGTATCCTATATATAGGATTCCAATGGGTCCGACTCTACAAAATCTGGATGCCTGCTTTTTAACATATCACTCTCTATCACCCTCTCCTGGTAAGCATCTTTTCAACCCTTTATATGTGGTTGCATGTTTGTATTATTTCTGCCCGACAATTTGTTTACAACGTGATTTTGATATTGTTTGGAGCAGATACTGGCTCTGATGGGCTGCCCTTCGGAGGCTTTAATGTAAGGGAGTTTCATGGTGCTGACATGTCCTTAAAGCTAACACTGCCTACCTTTGGACTTGCTTTCTATAAGTTCAAAGTGTCTGTTTGGAATCCTGATGAAGTTAACGAATGTCAGAAAGCTAATTCCCTTTTGCAAGCTGCTAATAACCGGCTCAGGCGTTTGCAAGTGAACCATCCAGATTTCAGGTTCTTTGTTTCCCATAATACATACTGGAGGTGAGCAAAGTTCCAAGGCATAACTGAACTGACCACTTAACTTGGAAGAGTCCCAGTACCTCAGCAGATTGACTTCCAAACTGTTTCTCTGGCCCCATCAGCCTTAAATCAACAAATACTTAATATTTCTATTTGTAGTTCTTCCTCATAGCTGTGAGTAAAGATGCTTTATTTTGTATGGATTATGGTGGATACAGAACACAGATAGCCATGATATTCCCATTTCATCTGGTGGGCTTCCTGTGATACTCCATGTTCTTTTATCAGCATCATGGCCTTGAAGAGGTAATCACTACATTTTCTTAATAAGCTTGTTTGATGATGATGATGAAAATTTCTCTGATATTTGTATATAACTTGTGTCTTTCTGAGTTCAGTATGTGTAACATACTACTTGTACTAACACTTTCTATAGAGCTACGTGGAGGTGAAATAACACGTTAGCTCATCTTCTTGATGGAATGGAGTTATATTCAAGCAGTTGAAATATTTTTTTTCGCTTTTTATAGTTTCTCCCCCTTTTCTTACTTTCCCACACATGAAGTTTCAGTGGCTTTCATTGTCAGGCTCATATTTTTGCCTTTTAAGGTTGGACAAGTTAATGTTCATGTCGAAAGTCGAAAACGTTTTTAGGAATGGAAACAAGCCATGTGTTTTTTATGAGTGGAGTAGATGAATAGGCTGGAATACAAATCTGTCTTGCTGCAGTGCTTGCTTCATATGTAATTATGTACTACTATTTGTAGAAAATCTCAAAATGTTACGGTACTCTCCCCCGTAGGCATTCCCAATAACTCAAAAGAAATGACGAAAATGTTCACCAATGGGACAAGTAAAGCATGCTAAAATCCCCACTTTTTCTTTTTCCCACGTGAAAAGAGCATGATTCAATTGATAATTTTAATGACTAATCTAATAATTAATTAAATAGCCAAGGTTTTAGGGGTGCTTATTGTTATAACATATAAATTTAAAAATTTATAGTTATACTTAACAAATGGAGTTATCATCGATCTTTTTTAACAATGTGTGATTGATTACTTAAGAAATCTATCATCTTAAGGAGCTTTTAAATTTGACTAAGAGTTTATAAAAGAACAAGTTTTGGTTTATAAACCAAAACAAGATTCAAAAGTTCGATTACATGTAGAGAAGGTTATAGCGTCTTCACATGCCCATCCAAAGGATGTTATCATTTTATTTTAATTTTATCTTTAGGTCTTGAATCTAATGATTTCAAATTGTTACTTTAAATATTGAAAATAATTTATAAAATTCTTCTATCAATCTGGTAGAATTCTTAAAAATATTTTTTCATTTTGAGAGTATTCAAATATCTCATTTGTTTTTTTAAAAAAGCTGTCATCAAAAAAATATTTAATTATTTTTTTAATTGACAATACATCTAATTATTTCATCATTTAAGTCAAATTAAAAGTATTCTTTTTTGAATTTTTAAATTTTTCACCATTTAAGCTTATTTAAAATTTTTTTTTTCAAAATTTTTAAATTTTTCACCATTTGAACCTATTTAAAAAAAATTTTGTCGTCTTCATAAAGAAAATAATATAACAATTATTTTTTATTGAAATTTCATTTAAATTCTTTCACTATTTGAAATAAATTTAAAGAAATTTCTCACATAAAGATTTCTTAAGATTTTACTATTTGAAATTTTTAAGATTTTAATCTTTGGATAATTGTCAAATATTTTCAACCAAAATTTTATTTTTTATTTTTTTCTCTTTTTTTAATTGAAAATAAATACTAATTATTATTATTGAAACTTTATCTAAATTATTATATCATTTGGGACAAATTTAGACAAAAATTTTTCACCTATGAATTTTATAAAAAGTTACCATTTAAAATTTTTAAAAATTTCATCATTGGATAATTAATATTTATTCTCAAAAAATTATTTTATTTTTTATACTTTTTTATTTATTATTTTTATTTTTTATAAAATTTAATCACACAAAAATACTTAAAAAATAGATAAATAAATAGAATAAAATAGAAATAAAAAAAATACCTAAAACAGGAAGCGGTTCGACTCCAATAGCTACGACGCGACTTGACTTCTGAGAAGAACAGCGGTTGAAGCAGTTTGCAAAATGGCTCGGTTCGATTGAACCTCAGGGCTGGGACTCGGGTTAAAAACAGGTCAACGCTCAGGTCGGATCACCCACTTGCAAAACGCACTGATCCTAGGGGTTTATTACATTTCAAAACGATGTCGTTTTTGGGTGGGTATAAAACACCGAACTTAGTCCTTTCTTCAGATTTTCCTTCCCTTTTCTCTCTCATTTTCTCTTTTCTCTTTTCTCTCCCTCTTCTCTCTAACCCGATTGAACTTCAATTGAATATTAATCAGATTCTGAGAAATGTCATCGAAATCTGGGTTGGTTCACTAGACAATCGTCGAAAAATTCAACATTCATTGGAATCTTCACCAGATTCTGAAAAACCTTACTAGAAAATTCACCTAGACCAAAAAAATCAATGAAAAATTTAATCGAAGTCAAAAAATTTTGTCGGAATCTATAATTTTTCAAAAAGAATTTTTAAAAAATCTTTTTTTCTTTAAAAAACAAAAAATCTTTGAAAAATATTTTTTGACTGCTTTTTTTTTTTTTGTGTTTTCGATTTTTGCTGTCTCTGATCTATCTGTATTTATAAGATCAAAACCACAGAATCTTAATTCGAACAAAAATTTCATTTTCCTGTGCATTTCAACTTTAACCCTTAAATTTAATTTAAATTCAAACACCCAACTTCAATCAAACTCTATCACCTATTTTTTTGTTTTTTTATTTTTTATTTTTTTATTTTTTTAATTAATAGAACTAATCTTAATAGTCCTCCAAACATATTGAAATATCTACACTTAAAATTCGATTTTAATCAAATTAATCAATCAAACTTATTTAATTCTATTAATCAATTGACTATCAAATTAATTTTGATCGATTTATAAAAATGATTTTATAAAAATTTCAATTTTTGATTATTTCAGTTCGAAAATCAAATTAATCAAAAATTTAATTGAAATATAACATAATCCAAATATAAAATGAAAAACATATAAAGTAGATCTTTTAATTTTTAAGTTCTTTAAGAGTTTTTAATATAATGTTTTGATATTTAAAATTTTGTTGAATTATTTTATTTAATTTATTTAACATATGAGAAATTAAAATTTTAAAATATAATTTAACTAAAATATATTTATTATTCAATATAAAGATATCCTTGGGATATTTCAATGTAAATCACTCCCTCGATACCCCTTGTAGCAGGTTTATCCTATTCCTTCGAATGAATTTGCAATGGACTTGAACCCACACACTCACCAATGGACACAAATGGGCATAGCAGACAAGATTCTTACAGCCAGTCAAGTACCAAAAAGAAGACAGAAAGAACCATTCGTTTTGTTTTTCTACAGAATAAGACAGCTCTTTGACATGAGATAACATATAATCCTCTTTCTTAAAACATTTTCAGCATTGCAACTGTCCGATTAACTCCTATCTTAGAATAAATCAAGCAAGGATAGATAGAGAGGATAAAGTTCTTCCATCTTTCCATTATGCACAAAAGCTCTAATAGCAATACAAAGTTCGATTACCATTTCTGCAGTAAAATGAAGATCTTCCTCTTTATGCTTGACTCTCAGCCCTACTATTAATACCATCATAGCCACTACAAATACCCCCCCAATTAACCTATAAGTTATCGCCAAGAATGGTGGACATCAACAGTCCTTGGACAAATCCGCACCTTCGAGCTTTCTCCTCATGCTCCTTGTCCGACAGTTGTGACTGCTGAGGCTTTCTGTTATGATAAACTAGTGTTAGACACTTAAATCTGATCGATAACTTACGAAAGTGAATCTAAACGAAAACTTTGCAGTGACAGGAAAGTGAAAGGCAGGGGAAGTTCCTAGTAAGAAGTAAGAGGGAATTTCATCAATTGACAAACACTATGCACCCAACGTGGTTAAAAATTTCATCAATTGACAGCATTGATTGCCTTCATAGCCCTTTCCAACAAGGGTAAGATATGTAGCTACAACAACCTGCTTAGACCGTAATTGCTGCTATGATCAAGTGGTATCTACCTACTCACCAGCAAAGCCAATAATAACAATAAAATAATCTTTGCCTAAGCCATGACATTTCCTACACTGTGGTAAGTTGCTCAAAGTTGTTCAGTAAATCAAATAACATAGTGGACTACCAGAAACACTGTCATTTTTAGGGGTATCGGTACCAGACAGAGAAACAAGTACTAATATCACAAGACCAAATGACCCCAGTGGTCATACCTTTCTAGAAATTCTTTATTTGTGCTTTCCTGTATTGCATTTGCTTCAGCAATACAAAGAGGCTGCAAGCTTAAAGGCTCATCAGCTGTAGGCGGATTAAACATAAATGATGACAATAATGGATCAGGTTCTACATTGGAGGAAGAAACGATGCACGAAGATCCCCCAAGAAGGGCCTGCAAATTTCCTTCTCGTAGTTCTTTTCTCAACATAGAAAATGTCAAATTGGATCCACCCTTGCGTAATCTCCGCTTGCGCTGCACGTAAGACTCAGTCAAGGATACCTGAACCATTCATCAGGACATGCTTACTCACAAACAAACTAGAGAAATTCAAACTTTAAAAGAAGAGAGCAACAAATGATAAGCTTGGTCACTATAAGCAGATATGTAGATCGATTCTAAAATAAATGAAAAGACAAATGCTTACAACCCTAATGAAGTCTATTATGTTTTGCATATAGCTAAACAATGGCACACATAATCAAGCACCATGGTGAAGATGAAAGCAGATCAAAGTGTTTAGCCTTTCAAAACGATAGATCAGTATTCAGACTAGATAGATATATATATATATATAAATATGGATATAGTATTATTTAAACCAGCCTTGACATCAGAACCAAACAAGAGATAACAAATAAACCCAAGCAGACCAAAATTTGCATAAAAAAGGATATCTTAAGAAAATTCCCATGTTGCATGGTAATGTGGCTAACAATATCCACTCCGACCCTCTTTGCACAAACCGGGCACACCTGAAAAAGGTAGCATTCAACCAAACACCTATTAAGCAAAATTTGAATGTAACTTGAGCAATGTTATGTATCCAGACCAACAACACATATAGATTTGAAGAAAAAAAAATGTAAAACAGCATGAAGAACCATAGAATTTATATATCAAATTAATTTAAAAGCTAAACAGCTTAGAGTGCTACTCTGAATGAATGCTAGACACAGGCGCTTGAGAAATCAGAATGATATCAAAGCAAACAACATCTATCACTCTAGCAGCCGTAAAATTCATAATAAAAGACATATAGGTCATGTTTGATGCATAGGATGATGAGTAAGATAGGATGATAATCATCCTATACCATGTTTGGTTTGTATCTAAATAAAGGAATAGGATTGTAAGGAAAATTAATCATCCTCTTGGCATAGATGATTCAATCCTCCCAAAGTGGAGAGGATTATTTTAATCCATGGGATTGAACTTATATGTCCTATTATACTCTTAAAAATTATATCAATAATTTAAATTGTATAAACTTTGAGGAAGGATAATTTTGACCAATAAATAAATTATCCTATCCTAATCCTTACATTATCAAACAAAAGATAGTATGACATTATTTAATGTAATGCTAATCATAAGATCATCTTATCCTATGATATCATAATCTTAGGCACCAAACACGCCCTAGATAACAAAATTATCAATAATCTTACTAAATTTAAATCCCCATTTGAACACCAACCCAGGAGTAAAATCAAAATTTTTCAATTTTTGCCAATTATGAACCACTCCATACACATTTCTTCTACTTATAAACTTCAAAATACTCCATCAACATCCAAAACTACCTAAAGTTCATATTTTTTCTAATAAATTCAATAAGAAAAACAAAAATTTCATCCATAGAAATAAAAAAAGTTCATCTTTTTTTCAGAAATTACGAAAATGGTACCCCGTTTTTGGCTTCAACAGGATGTTCCTCATCGATGTGGCAACAAAGTCCGACAATGTCAAAATCCTCAGCGCAAAAGGGGCATAAAAACTCCGCCTTGAAATCTACATCTCCATCAACTTCTTCATATCCTCCTCCCAGAAACAGATCTAAACACAACAAAAACAAATACAAAAAATCAAAATTAATCGCGAATTCAAATCATTTTATTTCTTATTTTCTCGAGAAAAAAACAGAAAATACTAACCAGATCGAGTTTGGTGACGCCTTGACGAAGAGGAAGAAGATGAATTGGAAAATCGAAAGCTCCATGGATTTGACTCCATTTTTTTTAGAATCGTTTAGAAAAGAAAGCAACTTTTTCTTTCTTTTGATCTTAGTATTTGTGAATTTTGTTATGGAGGTAGATTTTGGCAAATTTATTGCAATGAAGTCCCCAAAAAGTTCATAAAGGAAAGACGGAAGAAACTACAAGGGAAAACAAAGAGCAAAGCGACTCTCCACCGGACTTATGGTAAGGGGTTGAGTCTACCTTATGAACCATTATTTTGGTTTTTTTGCTGCCTTGCCCATTAAGTTTTGCTAAATTGTGGAAACGCCTCTCCTCCCAAAACTACTTCAGTTAGGGGTAACGATAAAATCTAGTTAAATGGATATAGTGATAATAACAAAATTGATTTGATGCACTGAAAATTTTAAATTTGATAAAAAATGTAATTTTTAAAATTTGAATTTAATTGAGTTTTAATTTTTAAATTTAAATTTTATTAAAAATAAATTTTGATTTATTTGAATTTATTTTATTAAATTTATTTATCGAATAAAAAATTTTAATTTTTATATTTAATTTTAAATTTGGTTATTTATATTCCAAATCAAATTTAAAATCGAATTGATAAATATATATAAAAGTAAAATAATAATTTTTAATAAAAATAATTAAAATATATAAAAATATAAATTATTAATCTCACAAACTATTTAAATAAAATATTATAATACTCAAATTTTATTTATTAAATAAATTAAATTATTTGAACCCATTGAATTAAAATTCGATTTAATAATCGAGACAAATTATGAAGTAATTTGTAAATAATGATGTATCATTTACAATCGAATAACGGAAGAGTGGTGGGTGGCTGTGGTTGCCTCGCGCGGACTTGAGTACGTCAAAGAAGGAATTCGATTGGACTATTCATTGAAACGCGTTTTGAAACGTTGTTCGTTTTGGAATATCCATCCACTATCCACGTGTGCGGCTGGAGCTGTCATTAAACCGACTGAAAAATTAAAAAAGTAAAGGCATCAACAAGTTCATATCTGACATGTACATGGCTCTATGTTTTGCACCTACCTTTGTCGAAAAGGCCCGAAACCATGTGATCCTATCAACTTAACTTTGGAACAAAGGCAGGAGAATGTCTTAGTATGTGGTAAGGGCTGGATTCTGCTGTATCTAGGAAATTGCAATGGGAAAAGCTCATGGCACCTGTCATCATTCAGGCTCAATCAACTGCAACACAAATAGAGCTAACATTTCAACATGTTTCAGGCGACAAGTATGGAATAAAATGCTAACAAGAAATATGGCATAGGATAAACTTATACTATATGTATTTTATATGTAGCACCATAACCTAAAATCAAGGAGACCTTATTGAAACAGCTTTAGTTTATACTTTACCCTTGAAAGAAACCTAAAGGCAAGCATGGAAAAATCTTCCAGGGCTTCAACTATGTGATACAGAAATACACAGCCAGACTTGACTTTTTTGAGATGTTTCACGGGAAGTATCAGAACTCCCACCATAGTTTAAGTTTGCCATTGCCACTAGCTTCATTTCCATCGGTTTCAATGAGATATATTTAGCAAATTCACTAATGAAAATACAACATCCCAAATTTATCAGGAAGAAACTCAAGCTAATCAAACAATTATGATTCCAAAACAAGAATGAATTTGTATTGAATGGATATCAAAACCAAAAGCACAGTCAGATAATACAAGTATTGCATTTTCACTAAAGCACCCAAATGGAACCAAACAGGCTTACCAGAAATAAGCATTAAAACCCATAAATCCTTTGAAATAAAGAAAACCATAAAGAAATCCACCCCATCAACTTCACTCATACCAAGATCTTATCCACAAAACATAACCCAAATCAAGAGTCGGGGTGTCAATTCAACTAAAATCTAAAGAAGCAGCAAGAAGCACAAAATAATAGAAAATAGTGCCAAAAGACACTACCTTTGAAGGAATTCAAAAACTGGAAACTGCATTGGCCTTTGAAACTGTCATTTTGAAATTATAAACAGACTAGAGAGAGAGACCCTATTCGTCTGTTTATAACTCCTTTCCCCGTTGTTGAGAAAGAGTTTTGTTTAAAGCGTTCTCAACAACGGGAAAACAAAACAAAACAAAACACTCGACCATGTACCAAACTAGGCTACGAACCAAGATTTGTTTGGACCAAAACCAAACCAAGCCGAAGCCTTTTCATCAGGCTGTCTGAGCCCAATCGAATGCCCATGCAAGGAAAATCTTGCGAAGTACTAGAACCCAAACTAAAGAACCTGTTACGACCCAATCTTCTTTATCTATATTTAGTAGGAAAAGATATGATCACTTTTCATTGTCTCCAAAAGGGTTGAACCCTTTATACATTGTAACGATGGAGAAAATGAGTCTTGCCCTGTAGAAGTAAAGAAACTGTAGGATCTGAAATCTGTCGGACTTGCATATTACCCTGCCCTGTAAGGTAGATAAAACCAATCCAATTATCCAATTAACGTGTTAATGTTCAAATTGAAACTTGATTGATTTATACAATAATTTTTAAAAAATAATAATATATTAATTTGTATTTTAAATTTCAACATTTATAATTTTTTTATTTCCAATTGCAACATATTACTAGTGCTATATGATTAAGACATTGAAAAAATGATACCTGTCACTCTGTCTGCTAGGCCCTGCCCAACTTATGGTTTTCGTTTTGTGCCTGGCTGGCTCTAAAACTGAATGGCCATTTAAGGAGAATATGAGGTTTAGATTGGATTCAAGTGTGAGCCTGGAGCCCCTGTTTCCCCATGGAATCATTCAAGGGATGTTTTTGGTGGGCACTATGCAGACCATAGTTTTTTACCATTCAAAAGAACGAGTTTGCGGCAGTGGAACCATTCATTGATGGATGTTGACTTAGAGATGAAGCCAATCATGTCACCCGATATCGTGTCACAAAGCCCATTCCCAATGCATTTCCCTTTGATTTAGTAAGATGCCCACACACCCATTGGAAAAAGGGACAAATGAAGAGAAACGGATGGGGTTTTCTTTTGTTTCATCTTGGAAAGCTTGAGGCAGTGCTCCACTAATCTTTCCCCCATGCGTAATTAATTTAGTTTCTTATGCAAAGCAACAGTGATGTTCCTTCCTCCTTTTTGAAGCTCATCTGAACTTGGATTGCCTAGAAAAAGGTATGCACCCTTTCAATTTACCTCAAAAATAAAAGGAAAATATCATACCGATTAGGAATGCTGCGTGAACAACTACAATTGCCCCTTTATTAGTTGCATATTGGATGCCAAGTGATTTGCAAAATCCTGTTGGCAAAAAATGAAAACAAGCAATTTTTTTTTTAAAGTTCAAAATTCATCATCAATATTAAAATTGGCTAAATGGACAAGAATCGTCTTTTTTTACGTAAAGAATTTAGATTTTAGTTTAGTTAATGATCATTTGTTAAAATTATTTTTTATCTATGATTTTTAATCATTATTTTTAAATTATTAAATACGATACATTTTATTTTAATATAAAAAATTAAATAAATTATTTTCCTTAAATCTAAGTTCATCATCATTGGCCTTTCGGACTAGGGAAAATGTCATGTGAAAGATATAAAATTTCCACCATCCCATCCCAGTGGGAATTGGCCTGGACACAGGAGAAAAGGGTATTTATTCCATCCTTCACATGGTCAGGCTCAAGTCACAAGTCGGCAACTTGAATCAAAGTTTCTATTTTTCCATGGAACATGGAAATCATGGCAACCACTACCTATTTCTAAGATTACTTGAGGCCGGGGGGGCTTTTAGGCGATCCTAATATTAAAATTCAAGTCACCACTGCAAAACAGAACAGTGCTAGAGACTGATTGGCAATCTGAGGGATTTTGAACAACAAAAATTGGAGGCATTCAATGGTAAAAATCTGGGTATTGAAGAAAATGTAATGTAGTACACTACTTCCAACTTTAGAATTTGATAGCATTTGATTTTTGGCCAGAGAAATCTCTCTAAAAGCAAGCAAGTGGCAGGAGCAGCAGTTTTGCAAGCCTGGCAAAGTGTACTATGGACCTGGAGATGTGGATCTAATTCCAAGTTTCCAACTGGTACACAAAAGGGGTACCCCTCCCCTCTCCACAGGTAGTTCCAAGTTTCATTTCAATAATTTTGATTGAAAATTTTTGAAACAGTGAAAGAAAAGTAGATGGATGTTGGGGAGGCAAGAATTTGCTTCCCCACATGGTGAAGCTATCCTTTTTTATATATTATTATTGCAATTTGCAAACCTCAAAGGTTTCCCATAAATGGTTTAAAAAGGAGAAAGCAACCCATCTCTGACTGATCACCCAATTTTCCACCCAATTGAGATTCTCTTGCGTCCATTCACTCAGGCCATTGCTTTTGGTACCTTAACCACAGAATCTTGCCATTCAACATAAAACGATAAATTCCTGTTGGAATCAACAGCTTGATCAAATATATATCTACTTTCTTTTTGCCATTTATGTCATATTATAATATAAATAAATAAATAATATAAGAATGAACTTATCATTTTTAAGGCAAAAATAAAATAAAATAAAAATAAATTTAACATATAAACCAAATTTATTATTTTCATGATCTATTCATTTGATTAATTAATTTTAAAATATCATTGTAATTATTCATTAAATTTAATAAATAAATATAAACAAACAAATATCAAATTTATTTATAAATTTTTCATTGAACATTATATTCAATTATATTTTTAATATAAAATTAACTAATTAATTTTAAAATATTATTCATAATTATTTATTAAATTTAATAAATAAATAAAAATAAAATTTATTCACAAACTCTTCGTTGTTTTCTAACCTCTGATGCATCCCAATTCACAAATTCCCAATTTGAAAGACAAATATTGTTTTTTTTTCTTTTCTTTTCTGTGCAAAGAAAGAGACGTGTTACGAAGAGGCGCACGTACGCTGCAAAGCGTAGGCCCGCCATCTCACCGCGTTGGTTGTCCTTTTCTTTTGGTTGCTCTTCGTATAGTCGGTGAAGGGACCCACCCTTGGCCACATGGGACAGCACCACGTGTCGTTCGCTGATTTTCAAACGCTTTGAAGATCATCCAACACGTCACGTTTGGTGCCTGACGTGGACAACTCTAAACTGGCTCTCTGGGTTCCTTTAACTCCTGTGTCGGTCTTCTAAGTCGTCATTAGCTGGATCTTTGTTGTATTAGCAAAATATATATTTTGGTAATTTATTTTGGTGTTAAAATATTTTGGTAATTTAAGAATTATGAATGCACCAAGAAAATTCTTTTTA